ATAAGATTGTCATGGTAAAAGGTTTGGCGGCTATACAGGAATATATAGCCGACCTTCAGCTCCATTGACTTCAATACAAATGCTTCGCTGGGTATGTAATACAAATTAATAAATCATACTTACCAAGAGAATTTTTAACATGTGAAAGTTCAGTGATGCAATGCACATGATGCACCAAAATTCTGAATGCAAGAAAACTCATACTAAAAATGATCTTACTTTTTAATGCTGTAATTAGACCAAACATTAAGTATGAAGATCACTCACAATATAATATGATAACAGTGGTCTCCACAGGATTTTTTCTCAAGTGGGTGCAAAATCCTCATTGTCACAATTCAGACCAAAATTGGCAAAAATATACCTATTTTTCATGATTTTTCTCATTTTCAAGTGGGTGCAAATGAATTTTCAGGTGGGTGCAAGCATGTTTTCAAAATCTCAGGTGGGTGATGCGCCCACTTGATTTAATGCTGGGGAGATCACTGGATAATATTTAGTATAAAAATTAGCAGGTGCATACATGAGTGAATTGAATATGAAGAACATGTTTCAATTACAGGCTTTTTCAAGGGTCAAGTTGGCAAAGCATTAATTTCAATCTGTAAAGTTGTAACCTTGACAACTACACAAGGAATGTGGTCATTCATTATATAATACACTGCAGTTATATGAAATACTGTTTTTGAATTGGCTGGAATGGGACACACCTTGCCTATATGCAAATTGTTTTTCTCAGCAAAATTTACAAAGTGTTATTGTATAAACTTGACTTAAGGAAATGAGTTTGTGTAGAAAGGATCTTTTAGAAGCTATTAGACTATATTGGCTCCCCGGGATTGGCTCAAAATATGTATGAAAATCTAGGGTATACATATAGTGTTCCATGTCACACAACCTCATTCATAAATTCCTTATTTACTTCTTATTCAAAGTCATACACATTTAAAGTAAGACACACACACATTGTTTAAAGAAACATGTTGTTTATAAATTCATAAATCATAACTCTTTTTGAAGTATTGGTTGGCCCTGAAAAGGGCCGTTGGGTTTATCTTTTGTGGGACTTCAAGATGGCCCCATCTGACGGATCTGATCGTCTAACAGCAGAAGTTGATCATTGGCACGTCGTAACTTAGTGTAAGCGATATGTAGCTCCATGTCCAGGAATTTGACATCAACAGGGGTGTCAATCTGCTGTTGTAGCTGGTCAAAGTCATAGAAGACATCATCATCTGCTGTTGCTATATCAACCATCTTGTAGCTGCTTGTGTTGATCTTTAGGTTTTCTTGGATATCTCAGAGTTGTTGCTTTGTCAGAGTTTCAAACTTGAATGATTAGAGGGATTTCCAGACTGGTATTTATACCTCTCTGGCTTGATTGCACCTTGGGAAAATCTGCAATTTCTATCTTTGTCTGAAGGGATTAAACTGCAGGAAAAAATAAAAAATGTTGATATATTTTATTCCATACAATCAAGAAGTCTGGAGAGTCTGTCTAAAAAAGATCCAAGATCTCGAGAAACTGAACTTCAAAGTCATCAGAGAATATTTTGATCAGTGATTTATTTTTTGCTTATGTATGTTTAACTATTTTATCTGAGGTATTTTATCTTGCTAATCAAGTGAAGGAAATATAGTCAATCCCTCCTCACTTTTTTATTCACTGTCAATTCCCAATTAGTAACTATTAAACATCTTGACAGTTAACCAATGTTGTCCCATTAAATGGAGATGGGGACATTCTGCCAATCCATGCATTGTTAATTAGTGGTAAGCTGCCCCAAGGGAAAATGGGGTGGGGTGTCTTGAGCTATTGTTGGAAAGATAAGATGCAAGATTTCATGTTTTCCTTCCCAAAACAAGCTCATAGCCAGCTTTTGCCAAGAGGGTTCACAGTTCAAAAAACTTCTGGAGGGTTCACATTTGATAACTTTGGCCCAAAATCACAAGGTGTTTCTACCATTTCTGCCTCAATGTTTTTTTCAAAATTCTCAGATTTAATCAAAAAGCTTAGTTGCATTATGCCAAATTAATAAATTGGTTTTCTTACAATAGGTATTCATACAAGATAGAGCATTCAGTCTCAAATTAATGATATTGGACAGAATCCACTCTCAAAGTTTATCAGAGTATCAAAGTGTCAACTTCAAAGTCAATCCTATAGCCAATCAAACACAATAATTCACAATGGTCATCATGATAAAACTATGAAAAGTATGGCTGGTTTTGATCCCTATTTCTCAACTATTTATGCCAAAGTCAATATCCAACTTAAAGGTATAAAGTGCAAAACTTTTTTCAATTCATTTCAACAAAAGTTATAAAACTCCAACGTCCTAATTACCATGTCAAAATGTTAAACTAGAAACTTCAAAATGCATAGTTAAGGATTTAAGCCCTGGACTCAGTGCAATGTGACCATTCCTTGAAGGTGTTGCTTTCCAAAATTTGCACGAGATGCACAGCATCAAGTGTTATTTAGAAAACAATTCCTGAAAGGAATGGTCATTCTACAATGCATTGAGTATTTGGACTTAAATTCTTTGAACACATTGCAAAATATTTTCTACCATGTTACTTAAAAAATGCTAAATTACCAAATGAATATATTTTTAATGAAAGCTTTTGCAAGGGTCAAGTTGGCAAAGGATCAGTTTCAATCTGTAGAGTCAAGTTGTCACCTTGACAACTACATAAGGAATACAGTGATTTGTTATATAATGCACTGCAGTTTTATGAAATACTGTGTTCTGATTGGCTGGAATCTGACACCTTCCCTAGCTATGTATGCATTGTTTTCTTAGCAAAGTGAGTTAACAAAGTGTTATTTTATAACCTTGACTTAAAGGGACAATACTGGAAATCGGAAATAATTCCTTAGAAAAACTTCAAAATAAATCGTTGGTGCCTCAAACCTGCCCCTAAGAATGGCTACGACGTGAACTTACTTTTGTCAAAATACCGGAGCCTGAAAAAAATCACTCACCTAGATATCAACAAAAGAAGTGTCAGTTTCGTTCGACTGCGAGAGCAAAATTGAAGCTGAGCTAAACGGTTTTTGTTTGTCGTAAAATTGACCTCATTTAACTGCGCCATCTGGCGAATGAATCATTGTTTCGTGTCATATGATTCGTTGTTTTGTGTCACGTGACCTACCTTTAGACCTTTTGCCACCTATCGTAAGTTAATCGAATTAAAATGAAATTTTTCGATCCAAGAAGAAAATTTGCACAAAAATTATAAACTCCGCTTGACATAATCTTTGCCAATCTATCGTCTTCTTGATGAGGCACATCGGAACTTGGAATTCAACCAAGCCACAAAAAGTATGTATTTTAGTTGTTCAACATGTTCAATTGTGTTAATATTTCCCAGAACTCGGCCTTTAAGGACTTTTAAAAGGAAAACAGGGAGATATGTTTTGGAGGCTGACTAGTAAAGTGCCAGTTTGCACAGTTTCTGCAGTTATCCGAGAAGCTACATTAAATTTGTGTAGAAAGGATCTTTTAGAAGCTATTAGACTATATTGCCTCACAATATATATGAAAATCTAGGGTAAACACAGTGTTCCGGGTCACACAACTTCATTCGTAAATTCCTAATATTTACATCTCATTCAAAGTCATACACATTTAAAGTAAGGCACACACACACTGTTTAAAGGAACATGTTGCCAAATTCATAATTCATAACTCTTTTTTAAGTATTGGTTGGCCCTGAAAAGGGCCGTTGGGTTTATTTTTGCGGGGAATTATCGGTGGCTTCTACTCTTGACCAATCATATCTGAGGAGATATCAGAAATGTCCCAGTCATCAAAGGTCGAATCAGCATTGATTGGAGTTGAGATGGAATCACGTCGCTCTTTCAGTTGGTAGAACTTGCCAGCTTGCTGTGAAGCATACTTGTACATGACACACTTCAGTCCTTGTATAGTGTTGATCTTCAACCTCAGACTGTAAACAAAGGCTGATCTATGGGCTGCCTTGGCTCTGTTTAGTCGAACCCCCATCTGGCGGATCTGATCGTCTAACAGCAGAAGTTGATCATTGGCACGTCGTAACTTATTGTAAGCGATATGTAGCTCCATGTCCAGGAATTTGACATCAACAGGGGTGTCAATCTGCTGTTGTAGCTGGTCAAAGTCATAGAAGACATCATCATCTGCTGTTGCTATATCAACCATGTTGTAGCTGCTAGTGTTGATCTATAACTTGTCTTGGATATCTCGGAGTTGTTGCTTTGTCAGAGTTTCAAACATGAATGATTGGAGACTATTCCAGACTGGTATATATACCTCTCTGGCTTGATTGCACCTTGAGAAAGTCTACAATTTCTATCTTTGTCTGAAAGGATTAAATACAGGAAAAAATAAAATTGTTTGATATATTTTATTCCATACAATCAAGAAGTCTGGGGACATGTCTAGAAAGAGATCCCAAATCACAATAAATTTAACTTCAAACTCATCAGTAGAATGTTTTGATTAGTGATTTATTGTTAAACTGGGTTTATTTATTCATGTAGCTTTTGTGTGAATTTTGTTATCTCACTAATCAGGTGAGGGAAGTCAGAATTAATCTCTCCAAACTTTTTTATTCCCACTCCTTTGAAAGAAATCATCCCATTTGATTATATTTTGTTCTCTGCAGTCGAAAAGTCTGGAAATTCAAATACTTCAAAGTCTTCATAGCATCGGTTATCCATTGTTATTTTAAAGGATTTTAATCGATTTTTGAAGTAGATTGAGTTATTTTATTATGCTAATGAAGTGAATGTGTTCTGTCACTGTCAAATTCTAATTGGTAATTTTTAGCGACAGTTAAGACATTGAATACATTTCTTATAAAAATCAGTAGAAAATTGTATAGTTTCTATGATTTTCCTTACATTTTTTTCATTTTCTGATTTTATATTTCCCTGTTTTTTAACATGGACTTGATGAAAAGTTTTGATCAATGAAATATCAAAATTTAGACCAATATACATGTATTTCCAGCAAGTGAAGAAAACAGTCCCAACAAGAAAACCAAAAAGAAAGTGAAGAAAGTGAAAAAGAAGGTGGAAGATAAACAATCTGTAAGTAGCTGCAACAAATTATCTTGAATATATTCTTTAGAAATTAGATGTCCTCTTACACCATAATCTTGAAAGTGTCCATTAATACCAAATGACTTATCTCGTATGACATCTCTCATAAAAAAATTAAAAAAAATCTCATATGCCTTTACTGGCTTGTATTTCTACACAATTTCAAATAGGCAGTCCTGTAATAAATATAAATAATTTCTCTTGAAAGTCCAAGAATTTGTCATTTTATGTATGGTTTTGCTTTTAAAGTAATGAAAGTTAACCTTATGACAAAATGGCACTTCTATTAATTGTTAAATGACAACGAAATATCCACTTATTCATTGTCTATACACATGTCATATGAAATATAAATGATGTTAACATTATTTAAAGTGTTATATTTCACTTTGATCTTTTCCCTTTCAATTCTCAGTTTTACACCCATTAACCCATTAATCACATATTTTTTTACATACATTAATATATATAATTTCTTGCAGTATTCATTGTTTTTAACATTATATTTCAGCCTGATGACAAACGTTTACTAAAAGAGGTAGGAAAGAACGGGGAAGGTAGTCCAGAGGAGGTGCAGCAACTTATAGATGAGGTAAGAGAAGCAAATGCTACTGTTATACGAACACACATTGATGGTTCCATCAATTTGCTGCCCTGATTTCTGAAAAATAAATATGCAAAATAAAAAATAGAAATAAAAATGCAAAATAAAAATACAAAATAGAGCAGAATTCAAAATATGGCATATTAAAACATGGACATAAAGATGTTTCCATCAATAATCAATGTTTTATTCACAGTCAAGAAATTATAGAATATAAAGCAGTGTTTTTAAATCAATTTAATCAGTTCTCATGTATGACAAAGCAAATGATCTAAAATAATCTATAAAAAGACGATTTTGAAACAAATTATCTTTCCTAATATGGTACTAAAATAAATTTAAAAATTTTATGCATTCCTATTCATATTGTCTAAAATTGCCGCTAATGTTTTTTATAAAACTTTGGCAATCAATTGCATGTCTATTATTGTTAACTAAAGGAATAAATTTATGTATAAAAAAAATGATACAACTGAATGTTATATTTATTGTGTTCTGCAGGGAGCGGATCCTAACTGTACCAATAAGAATGGTGTCCCAGTGCTCCATGTAGCTGTAATGAACAAGCATATTGATGCCATTCCAGTCATAGTACAAGCAGGAGCTGATGTAAACACAAAGGGCCCAAAGTAAGAAGATTTAAGATTTATTGTGTTTCAACCAAAATAATTGGCTTCCCCACAAATTATTTTACATGACATCACATTTATACAGTAAAATACATTGCTTGCGAAATATTTATGTACTATCGTAAAAATATATTCAATGAATTTTTAATTTTTTCTTGGCAAAATTTTGTTCTAATGTGAAGATACAATGTCAAAATATTATATTTACATGTTGTTAAACACAATTTTAACCCATTAAAAAAGAGATAATCTATTTTCTCTCGAATTTAGTTTATGAAAAAATATAAGTGAGGTGATCTCAAAAACACACCTGCCACTGTGCCATCTATTGGTCCACATGTGATAACATATGCTTGTTAATTGGTTTTACCTGATGTTTGTTCTTCCTGTTTTTCAGTAGAGGTAACAGTGCCCTCCACGAGGCTGTCACACTGGGCCATGATGGTAGAGATGTCATTGATACATTACTTGGGTACGTGTGCAGATACATTGTAATTTAAGAATATGAGCAATGGTCATTATGATTTATAATATTCAATTATAATATCAACATTGAAAATTATTGCATTCTGTTTAAAATTGTTGACAATATTGATAAATGTCTTAAGTTTCTCAAGTAATTTTCAATTGTGGGAAGAGAATATCATCACTTAGGGGTCATGTTAGTATGTCATTGTAGAAAATATAAAATTCAATGTTCAATAAATTGCTAGTAGTTTCACAAAAAAACAATGATGTCTTTACTCAGTCTCTTAGCAGTACCATTTTTCTATTATTATATCATATTGTTATATTTTCCAACTTTTTAGTGGTGTTTGGTTTCTGTAACAAATGGCAGGTGGTGGCATTTTGCATGTTAATGCCTTGTCCTTATTGCTGTACAAGTACCTGTACATCTATACACTTTCTTTATTTCTGTCATTTGTTCTCCAGATGTGGCGCCAGTCTGAAGAAAAAGAATGAGAAAGGGGAGACAGCGTATGATCTCGCTAGCAAAGCAGGACATGACTCTATAATCAAACAGCTGGCCTCAAATATGGGACAAAGTGCACTGGATAAAATGATAGCTCCTAAATCTCACGAGATAGAGACATTCTAAGTATACAAACCATACACTGTTAGGTTTATACTCAATAAAATGGGATCATCAAACTGGAGTTATAGCCTGAGGGAATTAGGGACTCCCACTACACCAGGACATGAACTGTGATAAAGACTTTTACATGAGATGGGCAAAATGAAATTCTCTAGATCTTATTTTCATAATAATGGTGTGTAAGTTAACCATGAAATGACAATTGTTATTTTCATTTGCAAATGGATGCCCGAGGGTTTTATTTATTGATGAAATGTGAAATAAAAAATGTATAATATTATTTATTTGTAGACATTAAAGAAATATGGTACTCAAATGTTTATTATTTTGGATTTTTATGCAGTACAAATAGATTCGTATATTTAAAATAATATACATGTATTTGACTAGTATCCATTGGAAACTATACTTACTATACAAGATGACTGAATGCATAGAAGTTTTTGATTAAAATTATTTTTGGTAAATATTCAGGATACATGATAAAACAAGGGTAAATGAGGAGTCGTCAACACACATATTGTTTTCAAATTCTTTCACTTTTATTAACTTCATGTTTTAAAGGAATGCTCGGTGAATAGAATAATAGATGTGATTAAAATTTTGTCGACGTTAAGGGATGCAGATTATTAGTAGTAAAAGTCAACCTCCTCTTGAAATGAAGGGGAATCATAGGAACTCATTCTCATTGGACAATAGTCATGTCATAGAATATACAAAGAGATTGTAACTGCTAATTTTTGAGCAATAGTCATATCATAGAACATAAATCGAGATTGTAAATGATAATTTTTGAGCAATAGTCATGTCATAGAATATATATAGAGATAATAAATGAATATCAAAAAATGCTTCATTTGAATGTTTTGTACTTAGTATAGTCTATAGTCAAAGTGTAGTATAAGAAATATCAAACCTTATGAATCTCTGCTCAATAAATCTTTATTCAGAATAGTTTCTTCACATTGCATTGGGAGACATTAATTTTGAAGTCCCCGTCTAAAGTTTAAACCACTTTGGCTTATATTGTAGTCTTACCCAATGTTATCAAAGTGTGATACGTGAAATTTTTTTTTCAATTTCAAAAAGTGGTTTTTGATAGACTTTTTGTTCCAAAATTTGTGAATTTATTTAAAACTAACTTTTAGAGGTCACACATATCTTTTAATTAGTCACGACTCATACCAATGCATAGCATTCATCCTCGCATGTTTTTTGCCGAAAAAATTAAGAAAATCGGTTCATAAATAAGCGAGAAATGAACTTATCAGTGCATGAAAATGGTTCCGAGAAAAATGCATTTAAAAATTCTAGTTCTCATAGAAACCAATGGTACAATGATATCTAAAACATAATATATTCTTCCTTTTAACCTGGTTAGACAATCAACATTGGTATATTATTGAAGTCTAGCATATTTAGAAAAGATTGACATCGAAAAAAAAATTTCAATTTTTTTCAAAAAGTTTTTGCTACCTTAGTGACATCACTAATGGTGCAAAATATTTTTGATATGCTAAGACATTGAAGTGGCCCATTAAATATGGCATTGTATTATTGAAATAGTGTGTCCTTTGATCAATCTTTGCATTGGTGTTAAAAAGATAATCGTTTTCGAAATGCATTAAGAAATATTTGATGATTAAAAAATTTCAACTTTTTTTTGAAAAATGGCAGGAAATTTGAATATTTGAGAAAAGAAATGCTCACAACTTTTTCTTCAAAAAAAAATTTTCTTTCAAAAATCTCTAGAATAACTTTTTAAGTCATGACAAATAGTAAATGAATGATAAAAAAATATTTTCAAACTTAAGACGGGGACTTTAAGGATTCAAAACTTATATGATTTGAATCCACCTTAAAATTACAATTGGAGTTCACAATATACAATAATAATTATAATTAATTAGTACAAACTAGTATTTAGAATACAAGTGAATGAGCCAAAAAGTTCATATTCTCTTTACCAAGTTCTGATATTAATTCCTAATTGTTGTATGTCTGCCCCAGCCTTTATATATCTAGGTGCCAGTAAAGATTAGTCTGTAAAATGCTGGTATGATGATCTTCCCATCACTTTTTGGTTTGTAATATAATAATTGAAAGGGGGGATTACAATATTACACTGGGAGCAATATTTTCAAAATCAATGTTAGTGTCACCCTTACAATCCTAATTTCATCATATCACCACCAAAAATGGTGACATATTGTATCCAACTTTTTTGTGAACATAGTTTTTAGTCCATTTGCCATTTTCTGAACGTATGAATATTTAAAAGTATGATGTTTTTCTGTGTAAATACTATCATTAGGGATTATTGGAGTGATTTAGCTGGGTTGCCAAAAAAATAAAGTTAGGGAAAAATTTTGTATCTATTCCCATGGTAACATACTAGGTATATGGTGGTATCCCAACGCTAAGTCAATAGTCAACGCCATGTTAAGCGATTGCACCCCTCCCTCATCAGCCTATATAATTTTTTCCCCAAACAAACTTTTTCGGCAACTCAGTTAAATCACTTCAGAAAACCCTTATTATCATAAATCGACCATAAAACATCGTACTTTTAACAATTTCTAGGTTCACTATTGGTTGTATAGGGGTGACAAATGGACTATTTGTGGTTGGTGTTTGGCAATCGATGTCTGTAACAAAATGGCAGGTGGTGATGTTTTGTCTAAGATGACAATTGAAATATCTGAACATACATGGAAATACACTACAAAAGTTCTTGACAGCACAATACATGATAATAAAATTATGAAAAAATGATGTCCATGATTTCATTACATCAGTTAGCTCTTCAAAAGTATGCCTCTCTAATCTATCTGTTTGATAGGGCTGAAATATGGACATTACACGGGGAGTAAGTCACCTTCCCCAGTCCAATATTCTCCAAATAAAAAATTCAGAATATATGAGGGAGGGGTGACTTTCCCTATGGTACATTAATTGATATATATTTTCCTCCAAGGGAGAAGTCAAATAATTAACTTCAAATAGATGTCTCTTGCCAAATTCTATATATTTTGTTTTTCGCTATATCGACTTAATGTATAACGATAATCAGGTGGTATTGTACTGAAAATAAAAAAGTTTTTTTTAGATTTGCCCGCATTCAATTCCAATTAATGTAAGCTGTCACTGTGAATAATCCATATCACATCCGCATCCTACGTGCACAAAACTCATTATGCTTAGTTGAAGAATGTAAAATGGAGTTATTTAATATTCACGTGCTTCTAACTTTAGGTGAGTAATTTTTCAAGGCAAAAAATAAGATTTTAGACTCTATTTTGAATTTTACAAAAATTGAAAAATTGATGTAACTTCCTTCAAAATTGAGCTAGAAGCTTCAAATAAAAAGCTTTTTAAAGCTATTATCTTCCTCTTTCTCATGGTTTTATTTCTATTGGTTATGGGGGGGGGTGCGATCGCATTGGTCCATTCGCAAAAATAAGGCGCTCCGAATCTGATTGAAACATTTTGCAATTATCTTACATTTGAAGTATTATCTTACCAGAATAGAAAGATTGCGGTATGAATTATGTTTTCCTGTATTATTTCATGGACGTATATTATCAGGCTGTTATCTCATGATAATCATGATAAAGATGCATATTATTTTTTTGAAAAATATCAGAACCTTTTTCTGAAATTACTTACATGACCTGTTGAGAGGCATTTTGAAAACACTTTATTTTGTCATACTTACCATTTGTAATTTTTTTCATCTACCTAACCACCCTTGCCAGGTCCGATTTACTACTATTTTTGTATAATCTAATAATGTACACTGATGATTTTAATTTCTTTAGCATACATGTAAATATCATCACCAGAACCTATTCATCACAATATGGGCGTAGCCATAGACTGTATCCTTCGTCTGAATAAACTGAATCTCATTCAGTCTTGTTGGATACATACTAGGCATAGCCAGGGGGATGCAAGAGGTGTGATCACACTCACACCCCCCCCCCCCCCCCCACCAGGTTTGTGTAAAAAATGGGTGACCGGGTAACCAAAATAATAGACAAATCTAAAAAAAATTGTTACAGACACATAAATTGAAACATAATTGCTGTTTTTATCTGTCAATTAAAGGCTGACCTTTCTGTAAAACAAATTTGGATATACATGTATTTTAATTTTTACAAATTCAACAACTGACAAGATTTTGAATTCTATATTAAAATGACATCGTTAAAAATTGTGCTTCCAGTGCAGAATAAAAGCACAACAAAAAATAATAAAAAAGTTTATTGGTCGAGCCTGGATTTGACCTTAGGTATGACTGCATGGGTAGCGAGGAATTTCCCCCTAGACCTTTCAGGCTTTTTTAATGTGCATTGTGATAAATAAACGGATCTGATATACCAGTTACGCCATATTCTGAGGTGAGTATTTGAACATAATTCTTGCCCCAATTGATCATGATTGTATATCCTCTCATTTTTGAAGCATAAAAGGAAAAAATCAAATTCCTAGGTAGGAATGATAGGTACCCTGTCACCCATCTACCTGTTTTTTACACCCCCCCCCCCCACCTCCAATTCTAATTAGTTCCATTCTAACATTCTCGTTTAATATAAAAACTGGATCAAACTCAAATATGAAATTTCGATCAAGCTAATATAAACTAAATCTTTTTTCAACACACATGGATATTTTTTAGAAAAAAATATTCAGCATATAATCAAAGCCCCATCAAATATTGAACAGTCTTGAGTTGACATACACATATAGTTTATCAAAATTGACCTCTTTAATAAGGCAAGAACAATCAATGTTATCTTAAACAAATTAAACTCAAAACTACGATTCATATACAAGGTTACATGTAACACCTGCCCGGGCACCTGGCAACAGACATGTGTATCTACATTATTGATTCATAGATCATCACAGCAGTTGTCCTGTTGGCAACATGCTGCAGCATTGAATTTAAATTGCAACAATGCTATACTTTCTATAATTTATAGCTATAATAACGGTATTAATTGCAAATATACTTATCTACAGTTCTATAATATAATATACAGGTGTACCATATTCTCTCTAAAGAGCGCACAGTGCAGTTTCCAAATTGAAATTTTAAAGGCTACGATATTGAGAGATTCCAATAAGTGCACATACAAAAATATAGAAAAAAATACCGCAGATAATCCTTTTATCTTTTTAATTGTCATCACTTTTTTACATACTCTACAGCTCCTGTATTTCCTTCTCTGCATTAAATATATAATGTAATCATCAATCAATGTTTGTTATTATCAATCAATATTTGTGAAAATAATTGAAACTATTGCATTAAATATGTTTTCTTGAGACCATATTTAACATAAAGGAAGCGTGTGTGTTCATTGGAACTGTGCGCCCATTAGAGAGAGAGAGAAAGAGAATATGGTAGCTAAATTATTAAGATACACTATAGCTGCAGTTCTATGATATACCACTACAGAGCTACTAATATACAGTAGCTACAGTACTACATGTATGATATGACATAGCTACAGTACTAAAGTGTACTATGACTACAGTACTGTAATATAATATAGCTATAGTACTATAATATAATATAGCTCTAGTACTATAATATAATATAGCTATTGTACTATAATAATAAAGTATAGCTATAGTACTATAATATAATATAGCTATAGTACTATAATATAGCTATAGTACTATAATATAATATAGCTATAGTACTATAATATAATATAGCTATAGTACTATGATATAATATATCTACTGTACTATGATTTAATATAGCTATAGTACTATAATATAGTATAGCTATAGTACTATAATATAATATAGCTATTATACTATAATATAGAATAGCTATAGTACTATAATATAATATAGCTATAGTACTATAATATAATATAGCTATAGTACTATGATATAATATAGCTATTGTACTATAATAATAAAGTATAGCTATAGTACTATAATATAATATAGCTATAGTACTATAATATAGCTATAGTACTATAATATAATATAGCTATAGTACTATAATATAATATAGCTATAGTACTATGATATAATATATCTACTGTACTATGATTTAATATAGCTATAGTATTATAATATAGTATAGCTATAGTACTATAATATAATATAGCTATTGTACTATAATATAGTATAGCTATAGTACTATAATATAATATAGCTATAGTACTATTATATAATATAGCTATAGTACTATTATATAATATAGCTATAGTACTATAATATGATATAGCTACTGTACTATTGCATACTCTGACTACATTACTATAATATACTATAGCTACAGTGCTATGATATGCTTAGCTACAAAACTATAATACAACAAAGCTACTAATAAAATTTTAGTTACAGTACTATACATGTAGTATACTGTGGCTGTGGCTACAGTACTATAATACACTATAGCTACAGTACTATAATATATTAAAGCTGCCTACGATACTATAATATGCTATAGCTATAGTACAATAAGAGGCTATAGCTATAGTACTATAATATGCTATATCTTGATATAATAGACCCAAGTCATCTCAAAAAATATTAATGTCATCGTAGACATGAAGTCCAATATGGTGTCTTAATAAACCAAATACCTTTTGTTTTGAGGGGAGGGTCATTTAGAGACCAATATATACCCAAGTCTATAATATTATTCAACTTCAATTCCTTTTAAAATATCCATGTACTTATACCTAATTGCTATATACATTTATTTCCAGGTTATTCAATAGTATTAGTACATTCCAGTCCTGTTCTTCAAGAAGATATCACAAAATACAAGGGTAAGAATAAAGAGCCTTTTACCAAAAAGTTAGATGATTCTGTGAATCAATATTTAGTAAAATTGAGTTATATAATTATCCCACTGAATGAGGTTTGTAGGGATATGGAGAGGTCATCCATCTATTTGTCTGTTTGTTCGTTAGTGTGTTCAGGCGATAAACCAAATACTGCTTGACATATTTTCGCATTCAAATTTTATGGGATAATGCCTCATAAGTACAGGATCTCTGCTCGGGAAGGAATTTGTAATATGGTTGCTCACTTCAAAATGGCCACCCATTTTTCATTAAAAATGTAATCTTTTGTAACTCAAACACGGACCTCTGCCAGATTACCTCCTACTATGTGTCTAAGCTCAATAAATATCCGTTGAGCCTACTACCAATAGGGGCTGGATCTGGCTGGATGTGGAGTGGATATATAAGTAGTTATTTTTATTTTTAGCCTTAACATTTGAATCAAGTGATCTCTCTAATTTAGACTGGAAAAATCATGTTTTCCGCGAAATTCCATGCCAGAACAAAAATTCTGCAAAAAAATGAAAATGCAAATTTCTGCGATTTTCTGCGGCGACGCGGAATCACGGAATATTAGTATGAGTGTCTAAAGTAGCTGTCACATTAGACTGTGTGGACTCACTGTTCATCACTGTGTGAATAATTTTGGACATTCAATTTTTAATTGATTATTAATTTTTGGACTTGGTGTGAAGGGGATATCTAGCTATAAAAATGTTCATTTTACCTACTGTGTTTCCATGCCATGCACCGTTGTCTGCCCCAAAGTATTCACACGGTAGCGAACAGTGAGCTAATACAGCCTTACATGACAGCTCCATAAAAGAGCTGATTAGAAACTTTTTATAGTACTTTATTATACATAAAACAAGGTACAATATTAAAATTACCACACATCAAGTGGGTGTTGCTAGACTCGATAATGGTGGTTTTATTAACACCATGATATGAAGCCAGTTTTCTTACCACATTAAGTGTCTACCAATATTAATAAGTATCTGACACATTTTAAAACTTGATAATTCTAAAGGTACATTAATAAATGTTATGTCTAGGTTTCAATTTTAGAAGTACATGTAACATTAGTTGCTTGCACTCTTATGTAATACATTTCTACCTGAATCATTAAACATTAAATGTTTTATTATAGATGCAGCGAATAGAATAATTCACCATTTGCTAGATGGACCAGCCCAAAACCAAAGCTATAACAGACTCGCTACCTTCACTGACAAGTTTGGGAGTCGTATAGCGGGATCAGAGTATCTTGAACATGCTATAGGTATGTATGTAGTAAAACTTGTCATAGTGAACACCTCTCTCTCTCTTGTGAACACCTGTCTCTAGTGGATACCCTTTCAATGCACATATTCTACCAATATAATCAATAAAAGATGAATTGAATAAAAAAAATAAAAATAAATATATATATTATTACTATGCTTGTTGTAGACTACATGCTTGATACCCTCAGCAAGGAAGGATTGGATAATGTGCATGGAGAAAATGTTATGGTGAGTTCCCTGTCCCAGTGTGGCGGGTGTAGACTAGTAGCAATCAATCCTCTGGTATCATTATCTCCTAGTTTCATCCATACATACATACCTACCCAAATACTTTTATTCTTAAGAATTTTGCATCTTGATTCACAAGGTTTCGATTGTTCCTACCTCTTTTGTCTCTAGACCCAGTGGAAAGCGACGATGGGAATTTAGAGCGTGATTTTAAGACTTCTCCATGGAGAGGGTAGTTGTTTGTAATATTGAAGTTTCTAAGAGATCAAACTTATATTGCAATGGTGAATAAGTATGCACCACATTCTCAAAGAAAACTACACCCTATAATACATGGATGCCAATTATGCTTGAATAGTATTCATATTACAATTGTGAAAAAGTTCCGATCGTACTATAATGATGAAAAATAGATATGTAGACTGAGAGAACACAATTATACCGTTGCTGCCTCCAAATATTCAACTCCAATTCATAAATATTGAATGAGCTGTATGTAGCATATTTTTAAATGTTGAAATCTGATTGTTAACATTATGTTATAGTTAAAACGTTACAGTTAGACAGGTGGAAAGAGTAGAAAACAGTGAATATGGGTTTCCCAAACAACACACTACCCTACCCCCATACTGTATCTTGTATTTCTTTGAAATGGATACAGGCTACAGTGAAGTTGCAAATGGAGGATGTTTGTTTAGTTTATTTCCATGTTTCTGAATTTGTATACTAGATTTAACATATGTTCCAAGTGTTCTATGATACATTGGATAGATTCATAGAGCAGTTTGCAGTGTATTATTTCCAGAAAAGCCATATTATAGACAAAGACAGAGAATACCCACTCCATTTGCAATTTCACTGTAGCCTGTATCCTTTTTAAAGAAATACACACATTGATAGATAGCTACATCTGACAAACACAAATTGAAGATTTTTTCTATTCAAGGTGCCACAATGGGTTCGTGGTAAAGAATCTGCTACCTTACTTTCTCCTCGCAACCACAAGATGGCGATGCTAGGACTCGGCAGCAGTATTGCAACACCCCCTGCTGGGATAACAGCTGATGTTCTGGTGGTGTCAACTTTTAAAGAATTAAAGCAGCGAGCTGCAGAGGTACTCATTTGTGAAATAATCATGTTTAATCTGCAATATATGGAGGAAATTATTGACATAAGTAAATATGCATATTACAATGTCAGCAGTTTTCCTTTATAAATGCAAAAAAATCAGATACTTCTCATTTATAAAGCAATTGTGTAGAGTAACAAATGCTTAGTACCAAATCAAAATTCTGTAAATTTTGAATCTTATGTCACTACCACATATTGTTCTAGTCTCCAACTTTTTTGTGGATGGTGTTCGGCGTCTGTTATAAATGGTGACTAACAAAGTTTGTTGTCTGTAACAAATGACAGGTGGTGACATTTTACATGTTAATGGCTTGTTATTAGGGTTGCCTTTGCAATGGTTTTCTCTTGCATAGAACCTTTTGTGATCAACAATCCCAAAGCAATTGTGTAGTCATAGAACATATTTAGAAGCCAAACATATTTATGATGTCACCACCATTTTAATTTATGTCTGACATCTGGCATTCACCATCTGTAATAAATAGCAGGTGGTGACATTTTGCATGTTAATGCCTTATATTGCATTTTTTTGCCTTATATTGCATTTTTTTGCCTTATATTGCATTTTCAGGCAAAGGGCAAGATAATAGTGTACAATGAAAAGTTTGTGTCATATGGTGAAACAGTGGCATATAGGCAACAGGGTGCAACTGAGGCAGCGAAAGTTGGAGCAGTGGCTTCATTGATTCGAAGTGTCACTCCTTTCTCTATTAATAGCCCACACACTGGGTGGCAGGTAGGTTCATGCTCATATGCATCAACACGGGCCCATCTAGCTATGAGCTACACAGTCAATATAATATGGCGCTGTTTCGGCATCAAAAAATTCTGCGCTGTCCGTCACCGTTCCGGCACCGAAACCTTTCGACACCAAAATTTGTTACCGGACTGGTCAGTCCATTTGGCACCAAAACGGCGTTGAAAATCAGATTGCATTTTGGGGGTGTAGGTGAGACAAAGGTTGCCTTGCAAGAAATATTTAGAGAATATTTTGAAGATATTAAAATTCTGATTGTAAGGCTTTTCCTTTTGTGGGATACACTGTAATTGATGTGGGTATTTAAATATGGCATTTCATGGTCACATTAAAACCAACCAACAGGGTTTATATTATAATCGCAAGATAATTAGTGATGTTTGAGTTTTCTTAACTTAAGCACGCTCTATGCTACCAATTGCAAAAGTACATGTATGTACCATGTGCCCAAATAAGCCCAGATCCAAGTGCTATCAAGAAGTAACCTTTACTCATTTCCCCTCTCTTAACCTTGCAGGACTATACACCAGGTGTTAAGAAGATTCCTACAGCATGTATCACGGTAGAGGATGCCGAGATGCTACATAGGATGCAAAAGAGAGGTAGGTACAATTATGTGTACATCCTACATCAAACTGAGCAGTTAAATATAGTAAAACCCACTGGTGATCCGCTCTATTACGCTGGTTACTGAAATGGTTCGTTTCAGTAACAAAATGTCGGAAACTCAAAGGTACGATTTTTCTATTTTTTTTCATGCTTTGAAGGCAGAATTCCCATGACATTTTTATCAAAAACGTGTGTCAGTATCATATATTTAAGAAAATATATATGCTTGCAAACAAATGGTTCAGAAGACAACAGAGTTGTCGATTTAATACCTCACTATTGTTACTTAAACGGAATGGGTCAGAAGTGCAAATCTTAAAGTTTCGTTTACATAACCAAAGTACATACAGGGGGTGAAAACGCATAGAGTGTTTTCACGGAAATACTTCCTCACCTCCCAATAGGCTGTTCAAAATCAAGATATTTCTTTAGTTAAGCCCACATTATAGAAAAACTAGATGAGTGGCTGTTAATTTATAACAATGGAATGTTTTCCTGAAGTACTGGGAACATTATGAACACATTGGCAGGTGAGGAAACACTATAAAAATTTACAGACTACCAAATAAAACTAAACCAACCTGCTTTTTGAACGAAAATACTCTACGCATTTCCACCCCCTGACATAGTGTTTGGATGAATTGGTTAAGTATCAAAACTGCAATTTTATGCTTGTTCAAAACTTTATTGCTGTAACTGAAATTGAAATACATGAAATTGTTAATTTGAGTCAGGATTAAAAAGAATTCCTGACATGTATACTGGTAGTTTCCATTTACACTGGTTGTGAGTCGTGGACTTCAAAGTTGCGGAAATAAATCTGAACATCATCCGTGGATGCCCAGTCCATATTGCCACCTCCAAAGAAAGTTGAGAAAAAAATCGTATCAATGTTGAATTCAGATGTACGGAATCCAACATCGTTGTAATCAATAACGAGAACATCATCTAGCCACACACGGAGAACTCCATCATTGAGCCCAACAGTGTTCAACCTGACGTACTGTTTAAGGTTATACCAGCGCCCTCTATTGAACCTAAAGGAGCCACGTCCAACAGAATGTCCGAAATCATAGTTGCAATGGTTGCCAGGACGATCACAGAAATCACTCGCTTGGTCAGCACCAGAGTAGAGATAGATTTCTCCATCACCATCTCTTCGCCACATATATCTAGTAGAGAAGCAGTGGCTCGTAGCCCCACCTCCTGAACAACTTGATTGGTCCCCACCATAGAGCCCAGGCAGTTTTCCTGGACAAATGAGTGTTGTTTGTAAAAGTTAACTTGTAAATTATCTACGAGGTAACTATCAACTATCAACTATCAAGAAAAATTGTGTTGAATTATGTTGGATGGGAATGCATGAGAATTATTGAAAATAAGGGAATCCCAGATTTAAGGTATTATGAGTGATTTATCTCACATAGATATTCCCTAAAGTTCATGTTACAGTTCAGGAAAGTTAAATACATGGTAAAACAAGGGCCATGTACAGGTGCTCAAGAAATCATTAATTTGCACTAATTGTGAAGGTACGTAAGAATAGGTGGCAAATATTACATGTATACACATTGATATCATCCTCATTTGTGCCTCAGATAAATTTGGTTCAAATTTTATAGGCTGTGCCTTTTGGACATACATGACCACTCAATTCAAAATGAGTGATGGTATAGGGGTCAACCCAGTTGTCTGAAACCCAGTTGTCCGAAACCCAATTCTCCGAAACCCAGTTGTCCAAAACCCAGTTCTCCGAAAATTACAGCTTACAGCTCTATGAACCAGCACTCTTTCATTGGTAAAGGGTGTATTTGAGAGTAAACCTCATCAACTGAACGATTCCTTTATGGGCTGGTATTTAATAAAACTGTCAAAAGATGAAAGTACAAGGGCATATACAGGTGATATAGATAGACAAACACAGTTAAATCATGTTATTCTCATTGCAAAGTGGCTTTTACATAACATACATAGGGTGTACAATTTTTAAACCAATTTTCTTTATGGCCCATGGGCCTTTTTGGAAAGGGAACAACATTTTTCCAATGGGTGATGGGCGTTCATAAAAGGGAAAAAAGCTTTCCAAAGCCAGTGGGCATTTATTTAGTAAAGTTGACATGTACGTCTTTTGAAACCAAAACTTATTCTTCACTTACCCTACTATCACACCAAACTAGTTCTCACTACGTTCTCGAAAACGGGCTTCAACTGTGTATGAACGGACTGGACGAACTTAAAACCGTTTGGGGTCTATTTACAAACTTCATCGAACGTACTCGAACGGGTAGGTCCTCTAGAACTTAGAACATGCTCAAAATGTTCTCTTGGTCGTCACATTCTACAATTAAAACGAGTGACAACCTACTAACGCCGAGCTGGACGTACTACGAACGGAACCGTCCTACTTCAATCATACTAGGGACGTTTTAACAACGAGTTGAACTGTCTGAGGATGTATTGAGAACGAGGTAGAACTAATTGCAAATGGGTTAAAACTGATTAAGAACGTATTTATCAACGAGTTAGCAAAAATATAGCTATCACACCAAGCAAGTTGCCACTGCGTTCCTCAAAACTGGTTTTTAACTGTATGTGAACGGAATGAACGTAGCTTTTTTTTATTAAATTTATTTCAATAGAATACAAAAAAATGTAAATACACAGACATGTAAATTCTTAAATCGCCACAATGGCATTATATAAGAATAGGGGGCAGGTGGAAGTTGAAGTGGCAGAGCAGGCAGGGTCTTGGACAAGGGCAAGTGTGACGGGACTATAGGATACTAAAGATGGATAAGAAGGAGGGAATTAGCTATTGTCTTTGATAAAATTAACAATGAGAAGTAGTATTTTGGAATTTGCATCTATATTTAATTTGGGAATTCCTGTTTTCAAAATAGCTATGAAATCAGTTTGAGAGAGATTATGACTGAAGATGTTTGGTTCGAGATCAGTGAGTTTGTCCTTGAATTGCTGTCTTTGTAAAGTAAGTAAGTCACATTGAAAGAGAAAATGTTTTTGTGGTTTTCCACAAGTGCAATTAGGGCTGTCAATAGACTGAAAGTTGTGAGCGTAGAACTGGGCTTTAAAGTATAGGTTGGCTCTCACTTTATTGAGAACTATTTCTTGATCCCTTGTTAGATTAAGCTGGCTTGTTGACAAAATCAAAGGTGTTTTTTGGAAATGTACTCTTTGATGTTTTTTAAAATTCGAAAGAGTACTCTTAGATTTAATACCAGGTGGAAGATTGATCCAATTTGAAATTGCAGCTGGTATTGCTGAGGTGGAGAATCTATTTGAACATCTAATGGGCATTTTAAATGCTTCATTATATCTCAATACTCTGTTTGCATGGTTTCTAAATTTGTCAAAAATATCAGTTACATAGGGAGGACTTGTACCATTTACAATTTTGAACATAAAGTTGTTAATCTGGATACTGCTTCTTGATTCAAGAGTTGGCCAATTGAGTAGGTTTAAAACCTTTTTTCAACTGCTCCCTTGGATACACCCAGAACAATTAAGTGCAGCTTTGTAATAAAGACTGTCGGGTCGTTGTAATAGGAATTTTGAGGCTGTGCTGTACATGATAGCACCATAGTCAAAATGGGGTAAAATAAAAGACTTAAATATGGTTTCTAGATGCTTGCTACCTAACTTATATTTAAGTTTCTTTAAGGGGTTCAACATTTTTCATATTTTTGATATAATTTCTCCAATATGCTTGTCATATGATAAGCTTGGGTCAAAAGTAAATCCCAGATGTTTGTGCTCGTGATCTCTGGTAATTTCAACATTGTTTAACTTTGAGACAGAAACATTATCGACTTTAGATCTGGATGAGTGGAATATCATTTCTGAACTCTTTTCAGGTTTAAACTCTAATTTCCAGCAGGTGTCAGACCATTTTCAATTTTAGTTAGGTTAGATCTGACTATTGCATCTACTTCTTGTGGATGCTTAGGGTCAAAAGGATGATGTAGAGAAGTGTCATCCGCATAAATATAGCAATGCCCCTCCAGATTGTCTGGAAGGTCATTAATGTATAGGAGAAATAATATTGGCCCAAGTATTGAGCCCTGGGGGACACCACAATTGATAAAGTCATTTCAGAATAATTTGAAATTTCTCCAGATATCTGTACTGCAATTTTTCTGTTAGTAAGGTAAGATTTGATAATTTTTTTAATTTGCCCTTGGCAGCCATATGCTGAAAGTTTATGAAGTAGTAGCTTACGTGGAACTCTGTCAAATGCAGCGGCTATATCTAGAAAAATTGTTTTGGAAGCTTTTCCTTGTTCAAATGTGCTCTGAAGAAAATGTTCAATCGATAAAAGTTGATGAATAGTACTATGACCTGGTAAGAATCTGGACTGATGTTTGAAAAGAAGATTATTGTCAATTAAATGCTTCCTGATTCGATCAGCTAAAACTTTTTCAAATACTTTAATTTTCCAATTTTCCAGATATCCGTGTAGGTACACTTTGATAAAAGTTTGTTGAATAAGTTGGCTAAAGGTTTTGAAATGGTATGGGCTGTCAAATTCAACATTTTGTTGGTGATGTTATCTGGGCCACATGCCTTTGAGGTGTCTAAGGACAAAATTATTTTCATTACCTCAAATTGATAGGTCTGGGCGGAAATGAGTAGAGAATTAGTCCTAATTGGAAAATGGGGCAATTGATCAAATGTTGCATCAGTATGATTTTTTGAGGCAAAGAAACTCATAAATCGGTTAGCTATATCAAGGTTGTTAGATAAGTCGTGTCCAGAGACATCATCATAGATACTAGAAATATAATTTTTATGTAAATTTTTACCAAGGAATGATTTGATCAACCTCCAATAATTTTTATCAGATTTATTGAGTTGATCAATTGATGAGATAGTTTTGAGTTCATGCGCCTCTTTGGCTTCTTCAATTAGTTGGGAAGCTTATTGAATTTGTTAACTTGATTTGGATATTTTGAAAATTTCTTATATAATACTTTCTTTTTTGATATTTAACATTTAAGAGCTACAACGTTCTATGGCCTGTTTACGAACTTCATGTGTACTTTCCCGGACGGGGAATATGATTAAGAAATTTTGAATCGATTCAAAATTCGATGGTGGTGGAGCAACCTGAACAAACTGCGAATGAGTTGGACGTATTGAAGACTGTTTATGAACGAAGTAGCTAATTATTTTAGACATATTTCCCAACCACAGCCAGATTGAGTCCGTTTTACGACGTTTTCGTAGGACTGTCAAGAACAGGTAAGAACTAGTTTGGTGTGATAGGGGTTACGTACTCTGTTCGAGAAATAGAGATTAAATTCAAAAGGATGAAGTGAGTACATGGCAAAAATGAAACTTCTTGGGAATGGGATAACATCCATTTTGATACGAGGGATACAAGGACATTCTGTCTTCATTTCCAGTTGATCCAAAGTGATTAAGTTAAGAATGTTTTGTTCTTTTACGATTTGATAAGAGACAGAGACTAAGAAATTAAATGCGACGAAATATTTTGACAACGCAATATGTATACTGTTTTATTCTAAGCGTTTACTTATTTTATCTGTTTCAAAATGTTTCATTTTATTTTGACTAGAGATTGAAGAAGATAGATAAACTGTTCCGTATTATATATTGTGTTTTGATAACCTTTTTTATAATCTCAATGTAAAATAAATCCCCCGTTCCTGCAATTCTGGTAACGCCATGCAATGGATGCAATTCAAAGTGAGAGATCTATGAACATCAGAATGCGTCCATGCCATTAATTCGTTCAAATACATGGCATGGAACTGGCCTAAGTTTCAGTACGTCCCCCCTTTCTCTGGTAAATGATGACTATATTTTTCGGAGTAATGGGTTTCGGACAACTGGGTTTCGGAGACCTGGGTTTTGGACAACTGGGGTGTACCCGATGGTATACTAAAACAAGTTTTCTCTAAAACTAAATAAAGTTACCTGATTAAACTTCAGATGTTCAAGACAACTAACTTTTCTGTCAGATGACCTACTTTCAAGATTCTTCTGTGTTGGTACAATTTTTGGGACACCATTAGTATGATGGTAGTAGAAATACTTCTTGTTTCTTTCGAGAAGTGAAACCAAGTGTTGTGAATGACTTGCTAACTTTTATAACCAGTATTAGTCATACAAAAAAGCTACAAAAGATATTTTTGCACAATATATAGACATTTATTATGTAGATGAAGTTAATTGTTGATTCAAACTAGACTACCAATAAATATTATATATTAATATATTTATTACACTTAAAATATTCAAATCCCTTCAAACGTTTTTACAAAATCCCTCCACAATTTTTTCAGTTGCAAAAACACACAATAATGACCACCAATTTTTCAAAATGGCCACTCACTAGCTAAATTGTCATGATAAAGTGTAATATGCTTTAAGTGTAATAAATACATTTGTTACTTTACTAATAATAAATATTTGTTATATTATATATTATTACCACCTTGCAGGGCCTCTTCTAGGGGTTTTAGTACTAGGTGAGAAGGCATTTAAATTGCTATATTGACGTGAGCAATATTGTGTCGGGCGTTAATGACTTTAGTCGGGCAATAATGACATTATCCGCCCGGCTATGTTTCCCGGGAAAAGTGATATCGTTCAGTGCGTAAGATTTTCTATTTCAAATTTGCTATTTCAGCCCTGGTCATTAACGGTGGTAATAATAGTAATAACGGGCAAAATAGTGAAATATTGGACCTTGGCCCTTGGGCCTGCAGCCCTTGGTCCAATATTTCACTATATTGCCCTTTGAAATGACGTTATTGTACCATTAATTATATTATTATATTACAACATCAGAAACATGAGACTGTTCCTGTTTACTTAAAAATAAAAATTATAACATACCTATGATGATGTATAGTGTAAACTGTTCACAGCACAGCGGGCCAACATAACTTTTGAAAAGCCCGCGCCTGCTAACTTTCTGATTGGTCAAGCCCTGTTACTACGTCATACATGAGGGCTAGGTCAAATTGACTCATACATTCGTAAGATACAAACAATGGGAATAAATCATCATTTCCGAAATCATTGCAAGTCACTAAGATAAGAAAACAGTACTCTCTGACCAGACTAGATCATCATAGGTATGTTATAAATCGTTTATGTCACTATAGTGACATAAGGTCGGGCCATATATCAATGAAACCCTCGGGCATATTACAATGATAGTGACATAACCTCTAAATATTAGCTACAATAATTTAAAATAAACGAATAAAACCAGACTGTTCCTTAGATAATAATAGATATTTGCTACAATATGAATGTAAGATCAGGGCCGTAGCCAGCCTTCAGCCAGGGGGGTGCAATCGCCAAAAAGATTTCGGTTTTCAGATGGGGGGTGAGATTGTGGCATTAACAAAAAATTAAGATTTATCTTGAATTTTACAAAATTTGATGCAACTTCATTCAAAATTGAGCTAGAAGCTTCACATAAAAACATTTCAAAGCTCTTTTCTTTTTCCTTCTCATCGTTATATTTTTATTATAGTACCCATCGCACCCCCCCCTCCGCTACACCTATGAAAATAATAGGCTGTTTTAGGTAAACTATAATAAATGAATTTGTAACTTGACTAATCTGTGTTTGTATATTTATTTAACCACCTATTGGTGACAATACCTTTTTACAACATATTTACAACAATAGGTTAAAAGTAACCACGACAATTTTACAGTTCATTGGCTCCACCCCTATTGCTTGTGGCTGTTACAGCCCAGGTCATAAATTGATTCAAACCATCCATGCTGACATTTTCTCAACCAATTAGCAGGCAGAAGGAATATGCTTAAACAATGTTTAATGTTGGTCAGTAGTACTTAATAAACAATTACTTCAGAGGAAATGACCATATATTGAAAATTGTCCTTCTCGCGATAACAACCTCTGCATGGTTGGATCCGTGAATTTAGAGTACAGATGGATTTATCTTTTAAGAAAAGCTCAAATGAATGTGAAGCATACACTTTCAATGTTCTTGCTTCATTTGTTTAAACATTGATGAATACAGTTATGTAGGATGAAACTTTTTTTAAGTTCCATGATTGTAATCTTGATATACAAATAAATTAATATAAATATTCACTGATTGCCTAATGTTGATATCAACTGATCTTTCATGATATGTGACCCAGGTTTGACCAATCATACAATTGCAAACATGACAATGATATGATAATTATGAATATTGACTACATGTGATTTACAATAAAACAAGAGGCTCCATCTTTGCACTCGCCGGTCTTCATTGCGTTCATCCGACGATCGACTGGCGGGAGTCGAGTGAACGAAGATGAGAGGCTCTTTATCTGGGGTAAACTAGAAATAATACATTTGTAATCCATAAACTAAACTAAAAATAAACATTGAATACAAAGTTAAAGTCAGAACAGGGAGGTTATTCCTGTTAAAAAGGCCTTGCTGTATAAGAATGGACTACATGTAAAGCCCCATCTACATTAGAGAATCTTTAAAAGTTCAATTTTTCTTTTAAAGATCATAATTTCAATGTAAAGTTACAATCTGCATGTCAACAAGACCAGCTTATTGCACGCCAATTGAGTTTTATGTAAATCAAATTGACTATATTTTATAAATTAGGAAATAAGTAACTTTTGCAAGTTGTCTCCATTTCATGAATAGCATTCTTGCATGACCAAAACCACTAATGCCATCTATTTATTCATCTATATAGCAAGTCCTCTGTTAGATAGAAATAAATATAAATATTTGTATTTATTTAATATGATAAATATTTGTTACAATATGACAATAAAAGCACAGATAATTTTTTTTATCAAATATTAATTTCACTGTCAGAAATATGTCTGTACGTGTGAGTTAGATTACAATGAAGATACATTGTTGGAATATATCGTCTACTAATAAATTATTCTACTGAACACTTAAATATAAATAAATATTGGTAACATATGACTACAGAATTTTGTGAATTACGAGTTAGTATAAACAATCATGCTATTTAGCTTATATAGTCCAAAAATATAAACTCTTGCTCCTTGCTCAATTTGTCTGTCTGTCTGTCCATCCGTCCCTCCGTCCGTTTGTCTGTCCGTCCGTCCGTCTGTCCATAGGTCCATCCATCCGATTATTTCAATTTATCTCTCCTGTAACTTTTTGTCATGTATCTTTTTGTACTGTATCATTTTGTCATGTAACTTTTTGTCACGTATTTTTTTGTCATGTAACTTTTTGTCATGTATCTTTTGTTGTGTATCTTTTGTCATGTAACTTTTTGTCACGTATCTTTTTGTCCTGTATCTTTTTGTCATGTATCTTTTGTTGTGTATCTTTTGTCATGCATCTTTTGTCTCTTTTCAATATAAATCTTAATTCAAGATCTTAACACTTGGTTGAAAAAATTATCCCAAATGAAACATCATGGTTATCAAAATAGCTAATAGCTTATTTCCTCAGGATGTTGAATCAGAATTGAAATGACAGTAAATGAAAAATAAAGTTTAGATCTCAACTTGCCACTGTTTCTTAATTGAAATTTACAGACTGAATACAAATTAAAAATAACTAATAACCTACAATAATAATTTGTAAACTGAATTCAAACTTTGTTATCACAAGTATTTAAATCAACCTTCAAGAAGTCAAAGTTCAAGGTCATATTCTAGGTCAATTCAAGGCAAAGAAAGGTCAAGAATCTGAAGTCTTAAATTCTGTTCAATTTGACCTATCTAGTTATATATGTTCTATAGATTTTGGAAAAACAGACATGTTTCCTGTACTAGATTCCTGAGAACTAACACTTCGACTTTTGAACATTTTGAAGAGACTATTTCTAAATTTGCTTCCAGCAAATACGTAAAGCCAGAAGTTGACGCTGTAGTTTATATACAACATCCACAAAAAAACTACAGAATACTTTTCAGCAAACATCTGGTTTTCAATGGTTTTATCCATGAATTCTACCCAGACGTTAAAGACAGTGAACGGCACTGTACATATGCAAAGAACAACGCTTACCGCTATAAGCATCAGTGCCATAGAGTTGGTGGTTCTCTTCTGAGCTGCTGTCAGTTCTCTTGGCGTCATTGACTTCCGCTTCCTCTGTTGTTTGAATACAACTTTGATTATGATGACGTTACAGATGATGACTATGCTCAAAGGTATGAAGCTAAGCATAAGTAAGTCCTGCCATACAAAATAAGTACTGGAATAGTGGATGAAATCTGGGTTCCATGTACAATCTGTGAAGTGGGTATCATCTTCAATAAAGGTAACGATCCAACTAATTTGTAGATTCCAAGCGAGGAGAATCAAAAAGCTTAAGCTTAATGCTCCTATTACTGTTCGTTTGGTACTCAATGCCTGTGCTCTGTAGGGTAATCCTACCGCAATACACCGCTCGATTGAAATCACGGCAATGATCCAGATAGAGAAGTCGGTCATAACATACAACACGGTCATTCCAATCTTGCATGGCCAGTATCCAAGGTCTGTCAACAAAGATTTGGATAGGCCAAACCCTATTTTCAAAGTCAAGCCAAGACCAGAATTAAGCAAGTTGAATGAATCTGTCACTGCTAACACTGTAAGTGCCAAGGCTATAGGAGAACTTCTCATATTTTCTCCACGAAACACGAGTATGGATAAAATGTTACATGGGACTCCGAATGCAATCAGGGTCATTCCACCATATTTCCAAAGTTCTACTTCCCACGGTATGTTTGCTGTTGAGTCTAGGCTCGTATCATTTAGTTTTTCTGTCACATTGAGTTCATCATTGAATTTGCTGTCATATGAATCAGTCCCATCATTCAGTTCTTGAGTCACAAATGACTCTGTGCTAGTTACAGTCAACACTGGATCAGTGGTAGAAGATGCAGACCCTGTTCTCATTACATTCAACATTGCATCAGTTGAAAAGGATGCAGATGCTGTTTTAGTTGCATTTAACATTGCATCATTTGAAAAGGATGCAGACATTGTTCCAGTTTCAGTCAACACTGTATCAGTTGAAAAGGATGCAATGTCACTCATAGATGCACTAAATGTTGTTCCATTTATGTGTTGTTGATTCACAGTGACGACCCTGTCTAACATCATCCCAACGAACAAGACAAAATGAATCAGCATTTTTGAATTCATTTTCACCACGTTTTTCTGATTAAATAATATCAACTCTACTTTGATTCCAGTTCAGAAAAATTAATAGTTTTGTAAAAATATTATTATTCAGCTTCTTTATCTGCAATTTTATGACAATTTAGAAATTTTTCTTTCACATATTGTTTCTCCTTGATTTCGCCCAGCTCAACTGGTGTTTCTTCATGTGGCTTTCTCGTAATAAGTAATATAAAATGGTAATATGATAGTGCATAACTTACCTGATAATTAAAGGTTGCTAACTATGTTAGAAATGTAATAATGAGTAAACAGACAAAATTTCAAGGTATTTTATGTAATGTTGACTGATTGAAAACAATTTAATGCAAAAATTATTTAGAAATATTTTATATAACTGTTTTTGTTAACATTTTTTGTTTTTTTAGTGCAATTGTTTTTGCTCCTTTCTACCAATTCTTGAGAATGAAACAGAAAGTCTTTCCAAACCTTGTTGGAACAAAATAGCATATACAACATGTTTTTAGACCTCTCAATATTATAGTTATACAAAGGAATTTTTGGTTGATTTTAAAAAAGTATTCAAAATTTAAACAAAATCCCCCAAAATAGATAAAAATCAAGATAAACCTTTTATTTCATTAAAATTATACTTTTTTAAAATCAACCAAATTTCCTTTGTACAGTTACAATATTGAGAGACCTAAACATGTTGTGTTTATGTCGTTTTTGTTCCAATGAGGTTCGGAAAGATGTTTCATTTCACTCTGGAAACAGGATACCAAGAACAAAACAAGTGTTTGATGTGTTTTCTAAAACAATATAGATAACAGTATATATCTTTTTTTCAGATTATATTGTTACCATTCAAAAGATGAAATATTCCTTGATTAAAAGATAGATTAATGATATACAGTACAGGCATACTTAATACATTACAACATATATACTTCATAAACATGTTGTGTTTATGTCGTTTTTGTTCCAATGAGGTTCGGAAAGATGTTTCATTTCACTCTGGAAACAGGATACCAAGAACAAAACAAGTGTTTGATGTGTTTTCTAAAACAATATAGATAACAGTATATATCTTTTTTTCAGATTATATTGTTACCATTCAAAAGATGAAATATTCCTTGATTAAAAGATAGATTAATGATATACAGTACAGGCATACTTAATACATTACAACATATATACTTCATAACAATAGGCTTTCTAAGCATAAATATCACTCACATACACCAGATATTTGCACAGCAAAGACCACCTATTTACAGTATACATTTAGAAAAACCACACCCTTGGCCTTGAGAAGTTTCTGACATACCAGTATGAATGTTAACATAGAGGTTGAACATTTCTCAAAGATTGGGAAATTCGATGAAAGTAGAATTTTGGGTTTGTCAATAAAATGGGGACTGGGAACCTCTGCTTGGATCCAAAAAACTGTTCAAAAAGTTTTTACCTGGATCGGGAGAGGAGTCAAATGATATTACTAGCTTAATTTTTTTAATTGTAATTTAAAAACACACTTTAAATACACAATTGACAAGCTATTGTTCTTTTGGAAACTGAGAAAACAACATAACATAGAACATTGGACTATAATACATGTAATCTATGCACAAGTGCCAAAGGGAAAGGACCAAAAGTTGTAATGGAACTTAGCAAGAAAAAGCAAACTCTAGGTGTATTCAGTCCACCCGCTATGGCTCAGTGGCAGAGAGAGTCAAGGTTACCAATATCGCTTGGCCCCGGGTTCGATTCCCGGTTCAGACAAGTTTGTTTGTGCGTTATGTAATTCTGGGTGTTTGTCTGAGTGGTTCACGACTGGTATAAAAGGCTGTGGTGTGTACCTGTATGTCTGTGTACCTGTGCACATAAAAGAAAACAGGGCTCCTCCAAGGAGGGGTTTCTGGCTCTATCTTCGAGTGTAAAATACGTAAAATACGGAATATACCAATGAGGTATTGCTCGCCAAATATGGCGGTAACCAAGATATAATAATAATAATAACCAGTCAAGAAAAACAAACCCCATATATCCCAAAACCATGATCTAACATGAAAAGAACAATGTATAATACCCCCTTTTCCCCACCATTCAAGAACCGATATCACAATCCAAGACCAGAACACCAAGGGACATTTCATTAATACTGAAGTCATTACAATACATGTTGAAGAAAAAATAAGAAATTGATAGCCAGTTCTCATAACATCAAAAATAGTTGTAGATACAAGTACTCATACAAGAAAGAGCATTCAGTCTCAAATGATGTGGGATAGATAAAATCCAGTCTCCAAGTCCAAAGGCGTTTCAAAGGGTCAACATCCATTCACAAAAGCCGTCACCATAATCCATAAAACACAATAATTCACAATGGTCATCAGGAGAAAATTATAGCTGGTTTCGATCCCTATTTCTCAACCATTAATGCCATAGCCGGGATCCACCTCAAAAGGTGCCAAGTGAAAAAAGTTGTGAGTTCAGCGCCAATGTCTTAAACAATTCCTACATCCTTCAGCAATGTCAGCATCTCAAGTGGTAAAACTTGAAATTAATAGTACAATAATGTCATTTCTAAGGGCAATATAGTGAAATATTGGTCCAAAATTTCACTATATTGCTCGCAGAAATGACGTTATTAGTATTATTACCAACGTTAACGACCAGGGCTGAAATAGCAAGAAAATCTTACGCACTGAACGATATCTAATTTCTCGGGGAAAAATTGCCGGTCCAGAATATATTCTAGACCGGTCCATATGGACCACCACTATGACGTCACACATTTCTCAGGTCGATATAGTAAAATGAACGCCTTCTAAACTAGCACTAAAACCCCTAGAACTGGCCCAGCAAGGTGGTAATAATGATTTGTATTTTCCAGCAAAGCCCAGAAAGTATTTCTTAAGCTTTATACAAGTATAACCTTGACCTAACAGTTTGATCACTAAAGTATTGTGTCTTGACTTAAAATCTAAATATTTAGAGCATGCCCTGCCATATCTAATAAGCTGGGATACATAGATCCCATATGCTGGGTTTAATGGAATATTACTGTCTAAATGGGGAAAATTCACAATATCAACGTTGAAATCATCTTGTTTATCATACAACTTACAATATATACTGTTGTCTTGTTCAATGTTAATGAATCTTCAAAATAGAAAAGCCATCCATCCATTTGTTTGCCCATCCATCCCTCCATCCGTTCATTTGTCCAGACAATAACTCAAATACCAGTTAATATATTTTTGCCTTATGGGCATAGAACCTCTGCTCAAGAAGAAATTATGGTATGGCTGCTGAATTTCAAAGATTGCCTTTTTTCATAAAAACTGTAATTCATGATGTCTCAAGTACCATTTATTGAATTTGCTCCAAACTTTATAGGCTAATGTCTAATAGGCAAAGGACCTCTGCTCAAGAAGGCATTTGCAATATGGAAAGTCATTTCAAAATGGCTGCCATTTTTCATAAAAGAAGAAAATTGTGATAACTCAAATACCAGTTGGCGGATTTGTCCACATCATGTGAGTAGATCTAGTAGATGTAGGGGATTTAATAAAATATATTTTGTTCGTTAGGTTTTGCCACTCCACAGAGTTGCTGTTGTCTAGTATTGTGTATTGTATTTTGTTTACCACCAATGAAGGTGAGCAATACCTCGTGGGTATATCCCGTATATATACGGTCGTAATTTACGTAATTAACCTGGAAGATAGACCCAGAAACCCCTCCTTGAAGGAGCCCTGTGTTCTTTTATGTGCACTTATACATAGACATACAAGTACACACCATAGCCTTTTGTACGAGTTGCAGACCACTCAGTCAAACACCCTGAAGTACTTCACGCAAACAAGCAAATTTAGTCTTGCCTGAACCGGGGATCGAATCCGGGACCTATTGCGTAAGAGGTACCTGCGCTACCGCTGAGCTACACAGGTGGTCATCTTGAATATCATTCATTCTCGAGTGAAATTAGTCTTCTCACAACTGAGAAATTAATTGTACATGTAAGTTAAGCAGCTTAATAATTAAGCCCATATGTATATCAGCAATGGGTCTATGATATAATGTCATCTCAACTTAAACTTGCAAATTATTAATCTAGATGTAAATCGAACATTTTGTGTTACACTTTTTAAAAAGGTTGTAGTTTACTGGTTTTTCTACACTTTTTAGATTTCCATGTAAGATTTGGCATGCATAGTACCCAGTCACCAGTACTCAGTTTTTTCAACAAACCCACACAATTTTGCTTTTGCTTAGGTCCAATGTCAATGGCTGTGGAAGAGAAAAGTTAATTGTAAGCGGTACTAAAGGGGTCAAATGAAAATTTCATTATTGTGACATTTTTAGTTTCAAGTAATGATTTTTACATTTTGCATTATAGGGGGAGGGGTTAAACCATAAGGAAAGAAACTTCATAAACTGTCAACTGTCCTTTAATGGACTGTTGCAAGAAACTGAAAATTGATATTTCATTTGAATTTGATCCTCTCCTTGATTAATGATGAAAATATAATCCGTTTGGATTCCTAATTAATGATAACAAATAATTACACCAACGTCACCAAGGAGTAAATTAACCAATCAATAGCTCTTGGATGACGTCTACTGTTGTCTTAAGAAAAATTCTTTCACACCTGGAGGTCTCCTGTACTTTGGGGCAACTTACTCAATGCCTTAGTAACATTTCTGGTTTTCTTCTCTTCTCCTGGATGACTTCAAACAACTCTAGGATGATCATAATTAGTTGTCATTGCATAAATCTCCTGTCTCTGATTCTCCTGAAGCTATTAAAACAAATACTGCTCCCAATGCGTCATTTTAGTTTCTCCAGGTAATGTGGGTCCACGTTTCTGAGCTTAATAATTGCCATCGTCCATTAGTCATGACTTAGGATCAAGAACATATGCCATTTTCTTGTTTGAATTTTACAGGGTGTCCAAAATATTGTATCGAGACAAATGTGGAATAACTATGTGAGTGATTAAAGAATATTTTTAAACTTTGGTCATCTGACAAAAGTGGTTTGAGAGAAAATATTGTTTTAGTACCATCACTCATTTTTGGAATGACATCCTTTAGGCATCTTACCATCTAGTTGAAAGCTCATGATCTTACTCACCTCCTCTTACAAAGTCAAAGTTGTCACTAAAGCGTAGATCATAGGACAACGCACGCTCATTCCCTGGAGAAAAAGGTTGTGAATACTGCTGAGCCCCACCCCGATTATCTCTGTCACATACACAAGATAATAAGGGGAACAATACTTCGAGTTCATTGGACGTCCCAGTTGGATTCCGTACAATTTGTAGATTCTCAAAGCCCCAGTTAAAGGTGACCATGTTCCACTCTAGCCCAAATATGAGATCGGGGTCCCAGGACTCCTGGCGCCAAATTACAGCACCTTTTTGGATAATGGCATGTTTAGCGTGAAAGTCAAACTATAGATATTTGTATATATTGAAAAATATATTGGCTTCACGTCTAATTAATGAATTGTAATTATACACATCCTCCTAAGCAGGTATCCAGAATCCGTACCTCCTTCTGCCCCTTGCTATAACCAATTTGGAAGCGCCCGATTGAACTGAATCACGTGATCTAATTATGCGCAATGACTTATACATGATTTCTGTCGCAATCCCAATCAGATTGCGAGTTCTTAATCGGGGAAATTTTAACTGCTTATCGCAGGGGGTAAAAAGAAAGAATATATTCTGGATTTTGAAGCCCTGTGATCGGAGGATGAATTATACATTAAGTAAAAAGTTTTGAAACTAAAATGACATCATTTATATAATGGCCGCTGGTTGACAGATATTATAATAAATTTGAACTTATGATATACCAAATTAAAGATATGTAAATTTGCTATCCACTGGTATATAATATGACATGTTTTCATCAAGAAAATCAATATTCGTTTTTGAAATACGAGTGTCCCAACTTTTTTGGACCACCACTCTATATGTTTAAAAAAGGGAAGATTTAGCTAGTTAGTGTAGAAATATGCTTGTCAAAATGACGAGTTGTGCCAGTTGCAATGTCCTTTGCTATGCAAAAAAAATTGACCAATAGGTGTCAAATATAAGTTGGCAATGACCATGTAAAAAAATATTGACCCATAGGTGTCAAATATTATTTGGCAATGACCAGTCATACCATTTGATGCTCTTAAAATAGCCACAATAACCAACAGCTGCCACATGTCTTTTGTTGTTGCCTGCAATAAAAAAAAACAATGTATGTTTCAATATAAGAGTAAAAATAAATAAATTGTGGGAAATTTGACACATGCTTGTGCTGTTAACATCTTGATAACAATTAAGAGGGAGAATTACCCAGAATTGAATAAAGAATGTATTTTCATGTAAAGATGAATCTCTTCAAACACATGAATACTAATACAGGTTCATCTTTTAGTTTAGGCTATTTCCCCCTCTTTATGCACAACTAATTTTTTGTTCTGCATATTTTCTGTATACATAATTACACTTAAAAATACCCATGATTTTAAAGTACTGTCTCTTTCAGCATCTTGCATTTACGTGCCATGTATGATTAACTATAAATACTATGTACTATATGTGGATATTGTTTTGTGGGTGGGTCGAAATAATTTAACTAAAAAGTGAGACCAATGTTTTTTCAATTGATTTTTAATTCAAAAAAATTGGATTTCCAAAAAGTCGGTTATGGTAATAAGGGTGTCGTGTGTAGGTGTTTTCGCAAAATTAAATGGATACCCTGTAGAAATTGGTGCAAAAGCTGAAAGTCTGGCAACCTCATACCTGAGCATGCGATTAAATGGATACATAATATGATATGCATGTATATGATTTGCATATAATACATCAATCTTTGTTTAGGTGAAAAGTTGACGATTCGTCTGAAGATGAATGCAAAAAACAATCCTTACGTGAAGTCCCGCAACACTGTAGCAGAGATTACAGGCAGTGTTTACCCTGAACAGGTACATAGAAAATGATATATGATAGATAGAATATGACAAGTTTCACAGTCCGTCTGTCTGAACCAACCCCCTCCCAAAAATAGGTTTTTGTGTTCAGTACATGTTTGATTTAAACATGTAATCTTCATGTATTCTGGATTTCTTAGTCTTTTATGTCACCACCAAAAAGTGGTGACATATTGTTATGGTCTCCATTTTTTTGTGACTGCGGTTGACGATCTGTAGTTGTCGATTGGCGGTTGGCATCTGTAACAAATGATGGTGACATTTTGCATGTTAATGCCTTGTTTTATTTAGTAGTATTTCACAATTTATGTTCATTAATGTTCATCAGTAGATTTTGATTTTTAATATGTAAAATTTCATTTTAACCGCTCAACTACTTACTGTTATCCAAAATGGTATCCACCTTCCCCCATTAGACTTTGATAAAAACTTCCTTTCTCGTAGATATCACAAATTGAAAAAGTTGGCAAGCAAATTCATTACCTTTAATAATATAATGTTCTGTGAAACACACTCATCCCAGATATTTTGTCTTTTCACTGTAATTACTTGTTAAGCAATTTATGCATAATTTAATCTTTTTTGGGGTTGTCAAGTTGGCCGAGAGGGCTTGAGCGTTGGCACGTTCAGGCTAGGCGATTGGGCGCCATAACCACGAGGTTGCGAGTTCGAGACGTGTGTGCTCCTTGTGTTTATTCATTTATTTAGAAATTGAACCATTTTAATACTTATTTGACCTGATTCATTTATAACACATATTTATATTTAGGTTGTAATTGTGAGTGGTCATCTGGACAGTTGGGATGTTGGACAGGGTGCAATGGATGATGGTGGCGGGGCATTCATTTCGTGGCAGGTATGTCTAGTTCGCAATCTGAAAGGAAAGCTGTACCAAAATATTTTTAGGCTGCTTTACTTTTTATGTCACCACCAGAAGTGGTGACATATTGTTATAGTCTCCAACTTTGAAGATGGCATTCGGCAGTTTGTGGTTGATATTTGTAACAAATGACAGGTGGTGACCTTTTGTATGTCAATGAAAAACCCTATAGGCCTAGTGGGACTGTATTAAAAATCTCACATTCATGTCTTCAATTATATTTGCAAAAGACAACAGACATACAAGGCATTAACATGCAAAATGTCACCACCTGCCATTTGTTACAGACACAAACCTCCAAACACCACCTACTGGATGCCCAACACCATCCACAAAAAAAGTTAGGGACTGTAACAATATGTCACAACCAGAAGTGGTGACATATTGTTATAGTCTCCAACTTTTTGTGGATTGTGTGCGGTTGTTGGTGTTCAGTGCTCAGTGTCTGTAACAGCGTTCAGCGATCGATGTCTCTCACAAAATGTATATGAAAATTTAATGTTGTCTTATGACAATAAGTGAAAGAAGTAGACCATCCATGGTATAGATGCCCTAAAAATATAGATATAGTATTTGTTGAGGAGAAAACTGATGAACATATAACAATGATCATAACAGCATTGCTAGTAGTTTGACAATGGAGTGGACTAAATAGCAGGAAGTGGCATCAAGGTAGAAAAAGTAAAGGATTTACTTTTCAAGAAGCCAATAGACAAGAATGTGAAAAACATATTTATTCAAGCTGGGACAGCCAATATGGTGTGTTTAAAAAATCAAAATAACAATATGACAAACAAAAACAGATTTTTAACTTGAATGTCGGAGGATTAAATGATGTAACCGAAAGATTTAAATTAATCACACAAAAACAGACTTTATGTTTTTTCAAGAAAATTTTGCACAGACAATAGTAAGAATTATAGAAAAAATATATTTTTAGATTTTAAAACGTTGTAGGGGAATAGCAGTATTAAACGAATATGGATATAAGCAAAGACACGCAAGAAAGACTAATTTGATGATAAACTGCATGTTTATTACAAATCAGAGAAATGTGTTAATTATAATTAACGCAAAAAGGGAATTGATGCACAAAAGCCACATTTTATGGTTCTTGAAGAAACATTTTCTATTGAAAAATGAAAATGATATAGACAATACTTCTAATATATTTATGGTCTTACAAACTCTATAGCAAGAGGTGTAACATTGTAACAATACTCATTGCAGGTCAGTAAAATGCAATGATATTGAATATACAGGTAAGGGAAAAATATATGTAGAAAACAAGGGGAAAAAGATTGAAATAAATGACACAATATTATGTCTGGTATAGGTATATGTTCCTAATGAAATAAAAACAAGAAATTGGTTTTTAGAAAAATTGAATACATGGATTCCAGAAAAATGTTAGGTGCAGTGAAGCCCCCTCCCCCTCCGTCAATAAAGCAGTAAATTAAGCGTTGAAAATGGAAATGTCACCATCTTTGAAATGCCCCCTTAACCAGGCTCATATTTCTGTTATAGGTTCTGTCAGTGATCAAGCAGTTGAACCTCCGTCCAAAAAGAACTGTTCGTCTTGTTATGTGGACCGGTGAGGAGGAAGGGGGGTTTGGAGGCCAAGCTTACTTCAATGCACACAAAGTAAGTTATAGGGGAAAGAGAATACTAAATGCTGTATTCCAACAAATGTATTGTATTCAAATAAAAGACAATCTGGGTATTCAATGTTTTTGGTGATGTTCTATGTACATTCCATTTACCTGGGTTTGGATATGAATATTATTACATGTACACAAATATTTTGTCCTATTGAATTTTTGAAGGTGACACTTCCAAAAAGTAGAACAAAATTTCAATGTTTTTCATTCTCTATGTCATATAATATATGAATGGGGCGCATTCTGGAGGAGGAATATTAATATTCACTCTTCAAAATGAGGCTCATTTATCTGCCAATGAACAGTAAGCAGAAGAGAGATATGTTACTGGAAGTTCTATGTCATGTGACACGTGTTCAACCAATCACAGAATGAGAAGATGACTGTGAGATTTTATGGTCAATGTCATCCTCTTATTGCTTTCAACTGGGGAATATAAGCTAAAGCATGAAACTTTTATTATCCCACCGAACGAAGTTCAGTACAGTAGGGATATTTTGAAGCCCTCCGTCCATCCGTCTGTCCGGAAGATAACTCGAATACTAGTGGCCAGATTTTCTTCATATTTGGTTGAAAGATGTATATTGGTGAATAGTTTTACACAAAAAAATTCAAGATGGCCACCGGTTTAAAAATGGCGGGAATTTTTTGCAAAAGTCTTAAGTTTTTCATTTTAAACAAAAATAATATTATTATTTGAAATTTTGGTAGTATATTCACAAGATCTATTTATTTCACATATACTCTGTTTTTTCACCCTGACCCCCAGGTGCCGTGAATGGGGGTTTGAAAAACAGGAATTGCATTAATTTTGAGATGTTTTTGAAGTATAGTTTTATTATACTCAAATGAAAGGCAATTTAGAGTAGATTGCAAATTCAATATTGTATTTGCACAAATAGGAAAGTTTGGTTGATTAAAAAAAAATCTTGTGAATGAAATAAAAGGTTAATTGGGTTTTTGTTTTAATTTTTGGATACTTTTTGTTAATTCAACCAAATTTTCCTTTGTATAACTATAATATTGAGAGGTCTAAAAAATGTTGTATATGCAATTTTGTTCCAGCAAGGTTTGGAAAGATATTTTATTTCATTCTCAAGAATTGGTAGAAAGGAACAAAAAACAATTGCACTAAAAATTGAAAAATGTTTAAAAAAACAGTTATAAAAAATATATTTAAATAGTTTTATTAAATTGTTGTCAATCATTGACCATTACAGAAAGGACCATGTTTTTACAGAATGTTTTCAATAATTGGTTTAAGAGGAAAGCAATGTTGAATTCAGTTTGCCATATCGATACCAATCCTTTAAGCGCCTGTGCATTAAAGGCAGAATTAGAGGAGGGGTGACAAAATTGTAAGCAGTTTCTAAACTGTATTCTTACCATAGAATAAGTTGAAGAATTATCAATTGACGCACAAAACAACTTTCATATTATAATTAACACATTTTTATTTCATTTTCAAATTTATTTAGTACGCCTCTGCATATTTGGCATAATAGGAACTCCGCCTGCGCCAATTAATGATTTCAGACAGTAATTTCTGTCAAACACATCCTGTTTTTAATTATTAATTAATTTGTCTGAGACTTACAATTGAAATTACAGTGTTATGTGATTCTAACGAATGCATAGGTAAAGTTTTCCCCTCAGTCTAATTTGGATTTAGTCTCTAGCTCTACTCACGATGCCCATAGTTAATTAGCTAATTATATTTTGATTCAATATCAGATTTCTTTTGGTAAATAGACATGTAAAAGTACATCTGAAAATATGGTTTCAAAAATTATTTATCAACTTTGAAAATAAATTTTTTTTGAAAATGTGACTTCTCGTTCGGGGAGATTCCCCATAGACCCCACGTTATAAAATCACAAAAAGTGAAATATCTTTTCTTGTATTGGACAGATCATATTTTCTTTACTGGACATATTTTAATTTGCATAACATAACATATATACATAAGGGTGATATGAAAATTGAATCACTAAAACTGATGAATATTCATGTTAAAGGGTCCACTTTCTGCTATACCTGCCATGCTGTCTGACCCGAATGAGCCACCTTGTGGTGAAACTGGCAACTACCTACTCACATCTGAGTTATAAGAAGTGATTTTCATGATTAAATATTCAAAATTTAGTTTTTGTTATACATATTTGAAATCTCCATATAAAATTACATTACAAAAGTTTTAGAAATTTTTGTCAATTTTAAGATTTTGATTCTCTTGGAAAATTAATGTGATTCTTAGGTCAGGTAGATACCCTTAATAGAGCCCATGTTATGAAATCATGAAAAGTGAAATATAATTTCTTGTATCAGGCAGATAATATTTATTGGACAGATAGAATAATGATCAAACTGAAAATGTTCGTATAAAAATAGATCCACTAAGTCTATTGAAAATTCAACTTTAGATGAACTTTTGCCTTTTTCTGCCATGATGTGCCTTGTAACCTAACCTGAATTAGTGGCACCTTGGTAATTAGTCCGAGGCTTATGATTACATTTAGAATCTCATTAGTGAAATTACATTGTAATGGGATTCTAATGAATGTAAACGTATAAGTTTCATGTTAGTTTAATACATGTTTGTTCTAAACTACAACGCCCATATATTATTTAATGAGCTAATTATATTTTGATTACATATACTTGTTTTCGTTTAACATATAGCCACATCTTGTTCTCCTTTCATTCGTCTTATAATTAATATTTCAGTTAGGGCTAAATAAACATCAATTTAGAACAAGTTATTTGAAAACATATTTGTGTTTATGTAACATTATCTACATTTACTTAAAAATGATTTAAGTGATTTTCTATAAAACATTTATTTTATGAAGTGCTCATATTAGACAGGTTAATCTTAATGATGCTTCACTGTTCAAATTGAGAGTTCTACACACTTCAAGGTTTTTTAACATGAAAATCAATGGGGGAAAAGACAGAACCTTTGGGATATTGCTGGGATATACATGTAACAGGTCAATCTAAAAGACAAAAGTTCATTTCCACACTTACATTTACATTTAGAGGTAATTGGTATAGTTTATCCATTCTTGACGGATATAATCGTAGACAATTTTAACCACGATGATTTTGTGTGAGTTTGAAGGAGGGTGGTAGGCTAAAATACAAAATGGTGTGCATTAAATCAATCACAATTCATTGAGGCAAGTGCTTAAATTCTTTTAAGACAGAGCAAAATATTATGTAAAATATCATCAATATGTAGTCTTGCTTAAAATACCCTGTACTCCCCCCCCCTTATCCTTCTTGTATATTGCCAGGTAAAGAGAGTGAAGGTGACGGGGGGGGGGGTGGATACACTCTTTGAGCAAGACTAATCAATATTCACCTTTCTGTCTAATTGTTATGAAACTACAGTATAGTTTTTCACTAAAAACAGCCAAGTTGAAATTATGAAATTATTGGGGATTATCAATATCACTAAATCTAAAAATAATATATAATCATTCATCTGTTTTAAAATATAGAATGCATGTTATATTTGTTCTGAGGGGGTGGTATGTGATACATCATGCGTGCTATGCTTTCAGAAAAACATCAGCAACTTTAACTTGGTGATGGAATCAGATATGGGGGTGTTCACACCCTACGGAATAAACTTCAAAGGTGAGACGTGATTTCCATTGTGCAATAAGAAGTTTACCGCACATGTCAACAATCATCATTTTGCTACCAAATGAATAATTTGGAATTCTTGTTCGGTAAAAAGAAAACGGGCATGCCATCATGCAGAACTATGCAACTCTTTAACAAGTTCTACAGAGCTTTTTTATTGGTTATATTACATTTCTATGTTGGTTTAATTCCTCTCTTATTTGTTTTAAAATACATGTAGTCTGTTCTTGGCTTTCTAAGTTTCTAATCCATCTATCAAGTAAAAATGTTTTTCCAACAAAGTTTCCCGATTTCAAATTATTTTCTTTTGTTGATCAGTATAACCTATGAGATTGATGACTTTGAGTGTAGGTAATAAACTGAAAATGCTTTTCCGTCACAAAATGTCAAACCTTTTTTGAAGTGAGAGACATCTATTTAACATTTTCAAAGCTCCTTTTGGTCAGATTGATACATTAATAGTGGGAAGTTCTCCATTAAGGGAACTTCCCACTACCACTATCCGTGGATTAATATCATGAATTGCACATTACCAAGAAATGAACTTTCAGCCCATTTCACTGTTTTATTGCGTCAGTAAAACCTAAAAAATAAGAAATCAAAAGATCATTATGCAATAATGTATGGAAAAATATATTCCTATCGTACATAAATGGCATTTTTTATCTTGGATTAATTCTAGTTTGGCTAATAAAGTGTGTGGCCTCTTACATTTTGATGCTTCTCTGCCATAGTATTTTCAAAAAGGTTAACATGGCTGAAATTCTTTAAATTACAAGAGGGCATAGGCTTATTGCACAAAAAATTAAATAATCTGAAATATACAAATGTAATTCATGTACAATATGAATATACTTTTCCATATATTATTGCACAATGGTCTCCTGATTTCTTATTTTTGGGGTTCTACTGAAGCAACAAAACAGTGAAATAGGCTGTAGATACTTCACCTGAAATTCATGTTTTCCTAACCACTGAGAAAAATGTCTGCTTTGTGAACCATGTACATTTAAAATGGAAGAAATACTTCTTCTTTTTATAATGCAACTTCATTTTTTGGGGACTGTAATTTTTTTCACATTACCAGTATTGAAGACATAAAATAAATCATACCTTCTGCATATTTGATTCAATCCTTATCAAATATTTTTAATTAACATTAGGAAGTGTTGCGCATAAAGTACAACATTGACCATATTTGGGCATAGGTTTCCTTTAACATTGTATAATTACATATTTCCAGGCAATACAGCTGCTACTACAATTATGCAACAGATACTTAATCTATTGGGATCTATCAATTCAACAACACTTGAAAAAGTAACTGCTGTCGGGACAGATATTGGATCATGGGCAAAGGCTGGTGTTCCTGGCGTATCCCTGCTCAATAGAAACGAAAAGTATTTTTACTTTCATCATTCCAATGGTGAGTTATAGCATTATGTACTTGTACAATAAGATGGTTAATCTGTTTGTATGTATTATGGTAATATGTAATAACATGGCATATTTTGATTGAAAATCTTGTTTTGTACATATGATTAAAATATGGTGTATTTAAGAAAGTACTGCTTCATGGGCATGTATGATTCAGTGATGAATTCATTTTCATAATAAAAATCTGGAATCTCATTTTCCTCCAATTAGCTTCGGTAAAAATTTTCCATTGGTATTTGATTCAGCCCCTTATTCACTGTTCCACAACTGGATGACTCTAACTGCAGTTAGCTTCATTCAAGATGGTGGACAAAATTCGTTCGTTTTCGATAAATCTCCAATTACAGCCAAACCAAGCTGAATCTTGATCCCAAAAGTTTCGCCATGCAAACTAAAAAATATATAATTGTAAACAACCACAAATCAAGGCTCAAGCACCCGCGATATTAGAGAAATTGAAAGAAAACGGCTTCACTTAGAATGACTCTAACTGAGGTTGATAAGAAGCTAACTCCAACACAGATTTCACCATTGATGACTCTAACTGAATGGAGATTTATAATGGGCTATACAAATTACCAATAAGCAGTTCCGTAACCAGGGGAAGCTGGAGGTTCGGTAGTTTCCCCCTCCCTGGCCAGAAATTATTTCAAATTCCCGCAGGTTTTCACCACTCTGAGCACTTTTCGCACGATTTTCTAAACAAAACTATCAAAAAGCACACCCCCCCCCCCCCCCGATTCAAATAGCACCGGAGAATATTATCATTCTAAATTGTAAGCGAATGATGGATAAAAAGGGTTTCTTTTATCGTGAAGCAACAATATTGTATACAATGATGTAACAACCTGAATATTGAAGACATGCAGTTAAAGGCAATGTTCATTTTTATTTGTTCAGTCAGTGCATTATCAAAATAATATAAGTGTATATGGTTTACTAAATTATTGCTTATGACAGAATTCACCTTATTATCCCTTTTTTAAACTTCGAACACATTTCCTTAATTAATTAGATTATTTGTGAGAGACTGTGTTTTGCCATACGCACTGGGCTTTGTCTTGTTATGTAACCACGTGACCACAGATGATGCCTTCCCATGGTACTGGTGGTTAATTGTTCTGTGTAAATATTAAGTAGTTGGTGTGGTGTATAGTGTTGGGAGTGGTGGCTTAGACCATGTCTTGAGACATTACCTTTTATGGACACGCATGGTCATGCAATCTGTGTCAATTGGTTAGAGGTCTCGTTGATTGGACCTGGGAGATATGGTCTAGTATCTAAGTTTCCCCAAACCATTGTCAGTTCTTATGTGACAGGTAGAGTATATTTAGTTGATCCTAGGATGATGCCATTAGTGGTGACATCTCCTATTGTCATTAATGTAGAGCGGCCGGACATCTCGATCCTGTTGCGGATCCTCTCCCTTATATGTTGGTCATAATAAGGGCCCAAGATGTTTCGAACTCATGGGGGTATTCCATGATATGTTTCTCATCAGCGGCCAAAGAAAAAAGGTTAAGAATATAGTGAGGGCTACTTTTTCCTGTTCAGGTTACGCGTTTCGCGGGATTGTTATTGGTTTCTAGAGAATGTTGTTTTGCTGGGTTAGGTTTTGTTTTGGGATTATCTCCAGTTGGAGACAGTTAGTTGGGTGCTAAGTAAATTGGTATCATAGTTTGGTTGTGTTTGTAGATTGTGCCTGATTGTATTTAATAGTGTAATTTAATTGATTTAGTATTGGGTTGTGACTGACTCTGTTACTGTGGTTGGTGTCAGGTTGTGTTGTAATGATTCAACAATGGGTTGATTTGAATTCGGTCTCGTTGGCTATGTTGTATTGTGTTGGTTTGTTGTTTGGTTGTGTTCCATTGTGTTAGTTTGATAGTCGATTGTGTTTCGGTGGTTGTTTGTCTGGTTGAGCCTGGATGTGTTGTGTAAGTTTGGTATCGGGTTGTGTCTCATTAAGTTATGTTAATTTCAAAGTGGTTGTGTTATGTTGTAATTGTGTTGTGCTGGTTGGTAGCGGGTTGTGCCCAGTAGGATGAAGTATGTGGTTGTGTCAGATTGTGTTGCGTGATTGGTGTTGTTTTCAGAGAGTGTTGGTTGGGTGTTTTTGTGTTCCAGTTTGGTTGTGCCTGATTGTGTTTTGATTGTTTTGTGTAAAATTGTGTTGTTCTTCATCCATTATGGGTTGTGTTTTGGTTTTGTTGTTTTATTATTTGGTTGTGCCAAATTGTGTTGCGTATATTTGACAATTGGTTTGTGTTCGGTTGTGTCTGGTTGTTTATTTAGCCTGGTTCCGAGTTGTGCCTTATTGTGTTATGTTAATTTTAAAATGCGTTGTGTTATGTTGTGATTTTGTTATGCTGGTCGGGGGGGCAGGTTGTGCCCAGTCAGGTTAGGTATCTGGTTGAGTCCGATTGTGTTATGTGGTTGGTTGTGCCTGATCGTTAAATGAGGGGTGGTGGCGGGTTGTGCCCGATTATGTTAAGATAGGTGGTCGGTTGTGCCTAGTCGGTGAGTTTATTTGGTTGTGTTCGGTTGTGTTGTGTGATCTCTCTGTGTTGGGGTTTTAGTTTGGTTGTTCCTATCCGTTGGAGTCTGGTCTCTGTATCTGTCTTCAGTAAACCTAAAATAAGAATACTGCAATGTTCCATGGTGGCGTTTTTTAATTACAGGTCGTGTAGACCATTCTTGCTTGACTAGCAAAACATTGACTTTCGGACGTTTGCGGCATTTCGCCTTTTACATCATATACTTTAATCCTAGAATACTTACAATATTTTACCATACCGTAAGCCTATTCATTTGGCCATTCAATCGTAAACTAAATTTTGTCTTGAAAAAGTAAATTTTCCAGATTTGTTGAAATTTCTTCCAGAATTTGTCTGCTCCCCCTCCTTCCAATTTCTACGATCACCGGCCATGGGATTGAATAGAAACTCACTCCATGTCAAAATACAAATGGCTACAACCAATAACAACAGTCAATAACATTTAGATATCTTATAACAACAGACAGGGCCGTCCATATATTCATCCCATTGAGTTAGCTTCATTTCCCGTTTCAGTTAGCTTCATTCCTACGTCATCACTAACTTCAGTTAGAGTCATTCTAAGTGAAGCCGTTTTCTTTCAATTTCTCTAATATCGCGGGTGCGTGAGCCTTTATTTGTGGTTGTTTACAATCATATCATTATTAGTTTGCATGGCGAAACTTTTGGGATCAAGATTCAGCTTGGTTTGGCTGTAATTGGAGATTTATCGAAAACGAACGAATTTTGTCCACCATCTTGAATGAAGCTAACTGCAGTTAGAGTCATCCAGTTGTGGAACAGTGTTATTGGCAGAAATGCAGTCATGATTTGAAGTAGCTCTCACAAACTTTACACTAAAACCTGTCTAATCCAAACACCATTGGTACTGGCCAAAGGTGATCAGATTAGCAGATGATCATGTTTCCAGGTTTCTTAATATGCCAATGGAAAATGTTAAAATTAGACCAAGAAAAAGTGTTCACATTGAAAGGTGTTCGGATAAGAGTGGCGTTTTGGTATGCATGTTTTAATGTATATCTCATCTTGTACATGTATATACTTTCAGGTGATACAATGACTGTGATGGACCCAAAGCAGATGAACCTATGTGCTGCAGTGTGGACTGTGGTCGCATATGTTGTGGCTGATCTGGACTCCATGCTACCAAGAGACATACAGCCACCCTACAATGAAGCTGAAATTCAACAAGACAAACGTTTCAAAAACAGCGATGAAATAAGTCGCACTGTGGATGAAATACTCAAGTTTGTGATTGGAACATGAAATTAGTAATTATCTACAAAGACTGATATCAAGTTTAAAAATTCTTCTGCCTTATGTAATCTATTTTTATCGTACCTAAAAAAAGGTACGATATTGTCATCAGCTTGACAGGCTGCAGGCAGGCAGCAGGCGGCGTCTCACTTTCTTGTCATCACGATTCCAGGAAAACCACTTGACGGATTTACTTCAAATTTTCACACATGTTACATGGTAAGAAGTTCTAGAGCTGATTAACTTTTCAGCAGTCATCTTGCACTCTGGCAGCCATTTTGGAAGTTTTTAGATAAATCTTGTGATCTTGTCGATTCAAGGAAAACCACGTAACAGATTTACTTCAAATCTTTACACATGTTACATGCTAAGAAGTTCTAGAACTGATTAACTTTCCGCCAGCCATTTTGCTTCCTGGGTCATCAAACCCACAGTGCTATGATTTAGGTACGATATTGTTCACCCTGTGCCTTGTTTGTATAAGAACTGTGTTGCAATCACAATCAAACTTTTGAAAAATCTGATTTAATCTTTTATCAGTAAAACCCTGTGTGTATGAAAAAATAATATTTTAATGTGTGCTTTATTAATACTTGAATACTAATATATGAAGTAGAAATGTACTACATAGAAGTGTGTTTGTCCTTGAGCCAAATGAATATGTTTTAATAATGTTCATAACTCGAAATCATAAATCTAACAATGGCAAATTGAGGATATTTGCCTGAAAGTGAAATTATTTTCTCAACCAGCGATCATTCTACACATTTACTACATAATGTGCAATAGCTGATAACATAGCATCTCATACGCACACAAACATCTGTCTTCAAAAGTTTAAACAGTTGATCTACGATGGCAGTCAATTATGGAAAGACTTTGTCAACATGGTTGTTAGAGTATGAACACTGTACTTCTACTTAATTTGGCATCCACCAAATGAAGTAACTGCTAAATTCCTGCAACATGTAAAAACACTCCAAGATAGCTACTTCATTAGACAACCAAATATGTTAAAATTTAAAAGATTGTTGTCAAATATTAAATATTCTGTGAATTAAGTAAATTGGTAGTGAATTAAGCTAAACTGTATTATTATTGTATCTACATGGACTATTTTATACTCACAAGTGTGGGTAGAAAGAAAGAATAAAGTAAATTTGTACCATAAGTGCATTGTAACATTGAAAAAATTAAGTAGCCCCAAATGTTCAAAACAGCAAATCCGCCACAATAAGTGGGCTCAAAGTAAGTAGAAGTACAGTGTCTATTTCAACAAGTAACAAGGCATTAACATGACAAAATGTCACCACCTAGCTGCTCACAATATTATGAGTTCAAACTTAGGTCAGATTTGAATTTCTGAGAACTTGTAAAGTCAAATTTGAACTTCTGAAAAGATGTAGATGATTTTGAAAAAAAAATTTGGTCAATTTGAAGCAAGTTGAAAACAGACCTTTTTGACCTTTTTTGACCTTGAGAAGGTCATTAAAGGTCAAATGTCAAATCTAAAGTCAGATTTGAATTTCTGAGAACATGTAGATGATTTTGAAAAAAAATTAGTCAATTTGAAGCAAGTTGAAAAAAGACCTTTTTGACCTTTTTTGACCTTGAGAAGGTCAAATGTCAAATCTTAAGTCAAATCTAAAGTCATATTTGAATTTCTGAGAACATGTAGATGATTTTGAAAAAAAATTTAGTCAATTTGGAGCAAGATGAAAAAATACCTTTTTGACCTTTTTTGACTTTGAGAAGGTCATTGAAGGTCAAATCAGTCAAATCTAAAGTCAGATTTGAATTTCTGAGAACATGTAGATGATTTTGAAAAAAAAATTTAGTCAATTTGAAGCAAGTTGAAAAAAGACCTTTTTGACCTTTTTTGACTTTGAGAAGGTCATTGAAGGTCAAATCAGTCAAATCTAAAGTCAGATTTGAATTTCTGAGAACACGTAGAGGATTTTGAAAAATTTTTTTAGTCAATTTGAAGCAAGTTGAAAAAAAACATGTAGATGATTTTGAAAAAAAATTTAGTCAATTTGAAGCAAGATGAAAAAATACCTTTTTGACCTTTTTTGACCTTGAGAAGGTCATTGAAGGTCAAATGTCAAATCTAAAGTCAAATCTAAAGTCATATTTGAATTTCTGAGAACATGTAGATGATTTTGAAAAAAAATTTAGTCAATTTGAAGCAAGATGAAAAAAATACCTTTTTGACCTTTTTTGACATTGAGAAGGTCATTGAAGGTCAAATGTCAAATCTAAAGTCAGATTTGAATTTCTGAGAACATGTAGATGATTTTGAAAAAAAAATTTAGTCAATTTGAAGCAAGTTGAAAAAAGACCTTTTTGACCTTTTTTGACTTTGAGAAGGTCATTGAAGGTCAAATGTCAAATCTTAAGTCAAATCTAAAGTCAGATTTGAATTTCTGAGAACACGTAGATGATTTTGAAAATTTTTTTTAGTCAATTTGAAGCAAGTTGAAAACAGACCTTTTTGACCTTTTTTGACCTTGAGAAGGTCATTGAAGGTCAAATCTTAAGTCAAATCTTAAGTCAGATTTGAATTTCTGAGAACACGTAGATGATTTTGAAAATTTTTTTTAGTCAATTTGAAGCAAGTTGAAAACAGACCTTTTTGACCTTTTTTGACCTTGAGAAGGTCATTGAAGGTCAAATGTCAAATCTTAAGTCAGATTTGAATTTCTGAGAACACGTAGATGATTTTGAAAAAAAATTTTAGTCAATTTGAAGCAAGTTGAAAACAGACCTTTTTGACCTTTCTTGACCTTGAGAAGGTCATTGAAGGTCAAATGTCAAATCTAAAGTCAGATTTGAATTTCTGAGAACATGTAGATGATTTTGAAAAAAAAATTTAGTCAATTTGAAGCAAGTTGAAAAAAAGACCTTTTTGACCTTTTTTGACTTTGAGAAGGTCATTGAAGGTCAAATGTCAAATCTTAAGTCAAATCTAAAGTCAGATTTGAATTTCTGAGAACACGTAGATGATTTTGAAAATTTTTTTTTAGTCAATTTGAAGCAAGTTGAAAACAGACCTTTTTTGACCTTGAGAAGGTCATTGAAGGTCAAATGTCAAATCTTAAGTCAGATTTGAATTTCTGAGAACACGTAGATGATTTTGAAAAAAAAATTTAGTCAATTTGAAGCAAGTTGAAAACAGACCTTTTTGACCTTTTTTGACCTTGAGAAGGTCATTGAAGGTCAAATGTCAAATCTAAAGTCAGATTTGAAGGTCAAATGTCAAATCAGATTTGAATTTCTGAGAACATGTAGATGATTTTGAAAAAAAATTTAGTCAATGTGAAGCAAGTTGAAAAAAGACCTTTTTGACCTTGAGAAGGTCATTGAAGGTCAAATGTCAAATCTAAAGTCAGATTTGAACTTCTGAGAACATGTAGATGATTTAGAAAAAATTGAAGTCAGTCTAAACAGTATTTGTTAAGTTATAGGAAGTTGTAAGAAATTGTTACAGACGCCGGACGCCAACCGCCGGACGCCAACCGCCAGACGCCAACCGCCGGACGCCAACCACCAACCGCTGGACGCCAACCGCCGTCGCAAAAAAATGGAGACCATAACAATATGTCACCACTTTTGGTGGTGACATAATAAAATGATATCATGTAAGATAATTTGTATTTTATTTTTACATTATACAGGCATAAATACAAAAAATATTGCCTTTTACTTTACAAATAAACTGAGAAATAAAAATGTCTTACATATAGAAAATTCATCATGATGTTATTTTCTTGATTTCTATGCAATAAGTTAGCAGATAAATTCTACAATTTCCTAATCATCTGATATGATTCCATTTGCCAAAAAAATAAGGTTTCAAATGAAAAATTCTCATATTTTCCGTTTCAAACTAAGAATGTTATATTGACATAATCCTACATAAAAATAAATCCCATGAGCATTGAAATGGGTTCAATTTTAAATATTCTTAAAGTTTGGAATGAGGCCTGTTCGTGCGATGGGCCATTTATTGAATCTGAATATAAGAAAAATTATATAATTAAAAATTACCGAAATATTCAAATAATAAATATCTTTTGGATATTTTACAGAAAGTACATGTACAGCCAAATAGATAGCCTTGTATTGCCCAAGTCGGTCTCTTTTACTTATCTAGATTTCTTTTGTAATTATTCAAGATCAGAAAAAGTAAAAAAATACCGACTTGGGCAAGGCTACCAAATGGACCCCATGGACCATAATTATGTGGTAAAACAAAAAATTAGGAGAAAGTCTGGTAACAACATATCGTTCAGACCAAGTTCACTTACATATGCCAAGAAAAACAGATGTTATGTGTGGAGTGTATCTACTATACAATTTGTGGTTCAGAGTTGTATTTACCACAGTTTGGCAAAATAAACAACCTTCTAAAAAACTCAAATCGGCCTTTTAGTCCTTATTTAAGTTTTTTATTGACCAACTCTGAGCATGGAACAAGGGCATCCAATGGTCCACTCACAAATACATGTACTACATCCTACACTAGTGCATGCAACGTAAATGAGGAAATACTTTCACCTTTACGAATGAAGAATCCCCACAGCACATTTTCAGAATGATTTTAAAAATGAACATCACACAAGTCTTTCTATTTACTCAATTTACGAATAAAGAACCCCCGCACCATATTTACAGAATAACTTTAAACCCACATGATTTCAAAAATTGGTTATCTCCAATAACACGAGTCTTCCTATTTGTTTTTAATTATTTACATTCTTTATTTATTGCACTTCAAGATATCATTTCTCGAAGAATATGTTCCATCAAAAAGATGTTCACCTTGATAGGTGTATTGTAATACAGCGGAGGAATCGAGCACTTTCCATTTCCACATACATGGGGATATCAGATCAGTCACATGAGCATGAGATAAATACAGTATCTAGTGCTTAATCATGTTATTCCCTTTCTCCATAGTGTCGCCAACGTGAGAAGCAAATTTGTAAACAGTAAATCACTGTTGAAAGAGACAGAAACTAAAAGTCCTTAAAATTAATATGTCTCAAGAATGATCCTTGTTTCAAAAAGTAAATGTAAGTCCCTGATGTCACTATCAGTCACACAACAAGGGAATCAATTCTCCATTATGTCACAGCCTTTTCTATATAACAATTGCCGTCTTTTGATACTTGATCATTTAAAAACTATATGAAGAATCCCCAGATTAAATATTGCATGTATAGTGTTCATCAGGTTTGAAAATGTGAAGAAAAAATGTCTTCCTATGCCTATGATTTTTCCAAATGTTTCAGGCTATTGGTGACCAGATTCTTTAGATGCCATATGACGCATTAATAGACTAGTTAGTTTCTCTAATTTCTTCACATCTTGAGCGTGTTGAGTTCTATACTGTAGCACCTGAAACATGAAGATTTAAACATATGAATAATATTTTAAGGCACCAAAATGAATACATTTCCCAGCTGCATTTCCTATCTCTTTATTTCTCTTAATGCATTAATATGCAAATTATAAAAAACATGACTTGAAAATGCAAAGATTATACATGTACATTATTGTGGGGTGTTCTTAATCTATATGGCAAACAGAACACTTTAGCAGGTTGAGAGTCAGTCTATTACCCCAATGACAACCAGATTTCCAGTTCCTTTGCCAAGAGCAAAATACAAGAACACAAATGTGTACAAAATGTCCCCACCAATGGGTGATCCCATGAAATGGTTATCCTGAAAATGAGTAGACAAGACTTTACCAACACAATTTTAATTGATCCGTCACACAGTTAACTAGAAAACATGTAAACAAGACTTTACAGACAAGATTTTAGGATGGAAAATCCAAAATGGCTGCCTTGACATTTACCCAGAATGTCAAAAAACTAATCTGTTCCTAGATTTTCATACTAAGAATCGTCCCTGAAAATATGACATTGATCTACCAAATGGTTCACCTGAAAACGCGTGTACAAGACTTTACAGACAAGATTTTAGGACAGAAAATCCAAAATGGCTGCCATGACATTTACACAGAATGCCAAAAAACTAATCAGATGTAGATTTTCACACTAAGAATCATCCCTGAAAATTTGAAATTGATCTACCAAACGGTTCACCTAAAAACGCGTAGACAAGACTTTACAGGCAAGATTTTAAGACTGAAAATCCAAAATGGCTGCCTTGACATTTATCCAGAATGCCAAAAAACTAATCAGATCTAGATTTTCATACTAAGAATCATCCCTAAAAATTTGAAATTGATCTACAGAACGGTTTACCTGGAAATGCATAGACAAGACTTTACAGACAAGATTTTAGGACAGAAAATCCAAAATGGCTGCCTTGACATTTGCCCAGAATGCCAAAAAACTAATCAGTTCTACATTTTCATACTAAGAATCATCTCTGAAAATTTGAAATTGATCTACCAAACGGCTCACCTGAAAACGCGTAGACAAGACTTTACAGACAAGATTTTAGGACGGAAAATCCAAAATGGCTGCCTTGACATTTACCCAGAATGCCAAAAAACAAATCAGGTCTAGATTTTTATACTAAGAATCATCCCTGAAAATTTGAAATTGATCCACCAAACGGTTCACCTGAAAACACGTAGACAAAACTTCACAGACAAGATTTTAGGACGGGAAAATCCAAAATGGCTGACAATAAAAAAGTGATTACGTGTTTTTGCTGATTTCTTCTTACAAAATTATCACATATTACTACTGTTAACAATAACATAGGCTTTTACAACAAAGTAGATCTGAAATTATTTATAAAGCTACTAAATAGTTAAAGTATGAAAACTCAAAAACACCATTCAATATGATACAAAGTATTATCGTGCGCTAACTTTTCTAATGACATTCAAAATGGCTGACATGACTGAGCTAACAGGTCCAAAACCTAATCAGATCTAGAATGAAGTGAGCTGAACAAGATGTTAAAGTTTTAAAAGCAACTGTGAAGCCGTTTTTCTTAAAGTTTGCAGACAAGGATTTTAGCATTTGACTTCAAAATGGCCGACAGGAAGTAGGTATCGAGTTTAAATTTTTTCATCCACATCTGTATGCACTCATAAGTTATCCCTGAAAATTTGAAGGTGATATCTGTAGCGGTTTTGGAGAAAACTCCCGGACGTACGGACAGACGGACAGACGGACGGACGGACGTACGGACGGACAGACGGACGCGCCTAGGCCGACAATATGGCCCCACACTATGTGGTGGGGACATAAAAAAGATTACCATTGGCAAAGAAGCAGATTTACAGGCGGTTAATTCAGCTCTGTTACACGTACTAATAAAATTAAAAAGAAACAAACTTAATAAGTTGACATATACTAGAGAAGAAATTAGGTAAATATTCTCACCATATTGTCATCAGTAACTTTAATATTTAAGGTTCCATCTTTGTTGATGTACTTTATCACATAACGGCACTGAAAATATAAAAAGGTCATGTAGAAATTATTTAGGGATGACCCTATGCCTCTTACTCAAGTTACTGAACAATTAAATTTAAATTATACACAAGGCAGGTTTTTACAGAAGCAGGGCTATTGCTAGGCTTATAGACTGTGGAGCAGCACCAGTCTATTTAGCTCCCACCCACAAATGAGAAAAATAAAAAACACTGATACATTATCATCGTCCGTCCTAATTTTTGGGGTTTTCGTCACTGCGAGCGAAACAAGCCCCAAAAAGAGGTACAAGGGTTCACCTCCAGAAAATTTCTAAAATTGACATTGAATATGGTGCATTCTATGCATTTCAAAGGACAATTTGTTTATCATATGTTTTTTAACAAAATTCATGAAAGTGTCTACGGTTATCTTTGGCACTTTCCGTGATTGGGGAAATAAATTCCCGCGTAAATTATTGTGTCCATTGTACCTTCAGTAACAAGTCAGATTTTAATGAACCAATAAAACTGATGAATATTCAAGTTTGAGGGATCTTTTGCCATGTTATCTGCTTCCTCAAATTCATAACTCTGTGCATGGGCATAGCGTGAGGGGGATCATGAAACTTCTGTGAATCTCCATTTGCCTCTAACTCCCCTTTAGTTAGAAAACGAATGCCCAGGCAGGAACAACCCTCTTTTCTGAAAGATAACAAACCCCAGGCCAGGAATAGACCCCTCTCAGAAAGATGACTTTTTTTATTGCAAACAGTGAATCACACTTTTACACTAGCTGTTTAATGATGGGCGTACTAGAGGCCATAATTTAATTGGTTCCTTGAATCCTTTTCCATGGTACAAACTCCCCCTTCAGCTCAAAACCCCCTTTCTTTATAAAAACCAATGCCAGGTTAAAAACTGAACCCGCCTTGATAAATCTTCTGGTCAGTCTGCAGGATACACACTAATCAGATTCCTACAAAACTCTATCAATAGTTGATGTCATCATTTCGCCTACTCCATAGTCCATAGCATATGCGTAGGCCCTACACTGGAAAACATTAATAAACCCCACCCATCAAAAGTTGTCACAATGAGCTAAATTCTAAGTTTTATGTCTCAAACTCTCCCAAAAGATAGAAAAATAATTCCCGTTCACTCTAAGTTGCACAATAAATGAATCCAAGGCTAAATTCCTACCAAATCGAACAATTGTTTTCATGGATCACAATTGTTGAGATCCAAGAAGCATCGGCTCCCAGAATACAACATCAGTAGTTGTTTACCCATGGCTAGACGGTGAACACCGCCTCTAATGCGTTGGATTGTCGTAAGGACTTGCATTAGAGGCGGTGTTTATCCTTGTAAATTCATGCCAATCTAAGTTTTTCTTGATTATTTTTGACGGTTCACTTTATTTTAATCTTCTGCTTAGAATCTCTGAGTCATTTACAGAGAAATATAAACAAAATGGATACATTGATGATTTATACAAAAAATTACCATGGCTTTGTGGTTGTAGAAGGTTGAATTGTGCTAATTTTGTAGCAAAATCGCCGTTTGTCGCTACTGTTCACAAAATCTTTATGGCGGCTTCTATTCTCACGAGATTTGACGAGAGTAGCCATTGAATATTGCTGCCATCTATTTAACTATACAGAGTTTATATCATTCATTCGACCATCATGTATTCGATGGAAGAAATCAATGATCTCTATTCGCATAACATAAAACCAAAGTTTGGATTTGATTTGAAGCCAGAACAGTTACAAGACGTGATAACAAACATATTGAATCAAGAATCCACTATCAGCAGTTTTACCAATATTGGTTATTGGAAAACATTACAACACGTGATCATCAAATACGTCACGTCACGTGATCATCACACTGATTTATGCAACGCATGCGCACTTGAAATTAGGTCAGCGAAAATGTCAAGAAGACCGGTCAGAAATGCAATTTCGTCTTATCTGCAACGATTACACATAATTACTGTAATAAAGCGAGGCATTTATGGGTTCATTTTGAAGATTTTTGGTCCCGCTATCCAGTGGTGAAAGAATTTTCAAGATTGAGGTAAGATCTTGGGAGAAAAGTCAAAAACATCAGATCCGGACTTTTCAGCATTTCTTAAATTTGATAAATTTACATTGCACGTTATGCACCCCTGGGGCCAACACGATCCTCAGAGACCCAGAGGGTGCATGAATGCACCTACCCATGGCAGGTTTTAAAATGGCAGAACTGCATTTTGAAAGCTGTCACGTGTCATGTTACATTCTGGGAGCTAATCCTCATTGCGGCATAATCAGGATCCAAAATAAACTCAACATTTGAAGAGTCAGCATGAACATGTGAAAATCACTTCAAATTTTTAAGTTCCCAGTTGTCATTATGGACACAAATTGCACTATATTTGTACTTTCCAAGACAGAGAAAAGAGAGCACTCAATTCACTGAGGTAAGGCGGCAGAATGTCTTTTTCATAGTGATAGTCATTATTTATGTTCCCAACTTTAGACCTTATCCACGCCGCAAAAAATAAAAAAAAGATTATTTTTTCGAAAGACTGGTACCTTACCTTCATGGGGTCAGATAAATACAATTTTTCAGCAGCCTTTGAGAAGTCGTCCCATGATGTTATATACGTCATTTTGGGACGCTAATTTGAATACTAAACGAATAAAATAAGAAAGTCTGGAAACTTTTTTACTCGGAAGAAGGTAACCTCGTTTTCATATGAAATCTGGTTTGCACTGAATTTATATTTGATCAAAATTTCTTTATTCAAGAGCGTTTTATGAAATTTTATTAACTCACATGATCTATTATTTATTATTCAGTGTTTTTTTTATGTTTGTAATATTTTTATAATATGATTGAGATAATAACAGAAGTAGGTCAAACTTTCAACAACCAATCAAATTTGAGTAATTCATTCACATTTCAATCAGTGACTCAGAAATTTGTAATGAATTTTCTGCAGGTCAAAAATAGATTATTTCTTGATTTATACAGTCTTAAGTAACTGTTTATCATAAACAATAGGATAACCAAATATTGAAGTTTATGTGTACGGAACGGGAGCTCGTTTGATACTAGATTAGCCATACAGATCATCAAAAACCACAAAGATGAGGTGAGAAATTTCTTTTGTTATTTTTTTGACTTCCTGTCAATGTGCCAATGTTTTCATAAATGTATGTTTATTTGTAAAAGTGAATATACATTCATTACGTGTTTGTTCTTATTAATGTTAACATGCTTCCCTATGTACTATATATAGCTATGTATCAGAGGTTGGTTACTTGGTTTGCTATAGAGGAGGACAAGGTAATTGTCGAACAAATGACTGCATACAGTTGGGGACATAAATAAATGACAGGTGGATTTGCTGAAGTGAGGATTTCCCATGTTAAAAATAAGAGAATTTACAAGAGGCCATAAATCAGTGGATGAGATTATACAAAATGTAAAATATACAAATTCTAAGGGATATGTATCTAGACAATATTGGAAATTATGGGCTTTCAGACCACCATAATTAGGAAATGGTGATCGAAAATCGACCTGTCATTTATTTTTGTCCCCAACTGTACACTGAGTGTCCGTCAATTACCTACATGGTTGACACTGCATCTGTACTCTTCTGGTAACTGTTTCACAGCAGGGTTGAATTTTTTCACAACGAAGAATTCCTGAAGCTCAACATTTTTAGTACAGTAGCAATTCTTTATTCTTTATAAACCTATAGTTTACCTATTGCCATATGCATATACGCAGATTATGCCACAGAATATCAGAATCTTGCACTTGGATTCAATGCCAGTATTTTTACGTTACACAAACACCATTGAGCTGATGCTGATATTATAACATGATACCCTGAGGAATGATTTTGCTAGAAATTTACAGATTGATTTGAGGCACTATTTTTGATATTTGTAATTACAACTTGTTAAACTTGAATATATTAGATTATGTTATATACTAAAATCTCATTATTATTTATCCAAGATTCTATAACTCTTTATACAGGCTCCCAGAACTATCAGACTATCAGTACAACATACTCCCAGTCAGCATTTGGTTGAGCAAAGACATTTTCTTGTAATATTGGGTCTACTGAGCATAGCGCTTAAAGCCTCATTCACATTTCGGCGGCCATAGAATCACAAAACGGATATAGAAAATCTATATCATACTGCTCATCCCTATATTTTATGCTGTATATTTACCTCGATTCTGGGAAGCTACGGCCGGAGTATGGTTGCTGTAGATCAAATGTGACTGAGGCATTAGTACTCTTAAAGTCTCAAATATTAGCTAAAATTATTCCTGGAAAGTGTTGACTACCAGAAATTAATTATTGTCAATCAGATTTATTTTTAGGACATTTAATTAAGAGTTCAGAAACCTGTTCTGATTCTTCTAAATATATTTTTGTATTTAGTTTTGTTTCATTTTGTGAAGTGAAACTTAGATGTAAATATAAAATCGTTTTTATTTCTCTAAATAGATTTTGCATGTGAGATAACATCATTAGTTTATTTCTTGAAAATTTGTAGATTATTTGGTTAACTGGTCAATCATGTTGAAAAGTGACACATACATCTCAAGAGTTTCAAAAGTAGTTTAATTTTTTTCATTTCCCATGAATTTGTAAATTAATCTAAAAAAGAAATAATTTAAATATATGAAATTTTGAGATATATTTATCGCACCTTCTCCCACAAATGCTAGCAGGTCTTGAATTATCCAACATACAGTGAAACCTGTCTAACTCGAATGTCACTGAGATATGCCAGAGTCTTTGATTTGGCAGGTGTTCATTTTACAAGGTACATTGTATTTTACATGGTAATCCTTTACAGAAAAATAGTATTGAGAGGAGTTCAGATGAGTGAGATGTTCAGATATACAGGCTTAACGATACATGTACAAAGAACTAAAGATTAACCGTTCAATTGATTCCTGATTTGATTCCATGTCAATTTACCCGATTCAAGTCTGAACTTTGTACTATAGTCATCATCTGGTCCGGCTCTGGTTCATATACTATCTGTATGAGGTTTATTTTAACAGCACAATTTGTAAAAGTGCAGTATTTTTTCATTTTTCATTTTATGTTGTAGACCTTTTTTAAATTAGATCTTTATATTATCATGATATTTAAAAAGGCAATCGATAATTATTATCATTGTGAATTAAGTTCTGTAGGCCTATATTTCTATATAGTATTAACCAGTATTGTATCATGGTTATCAAATAAGTTATTGAACTTTGAACAGTTTTTGCCTTTCTTAAAAAATAGACCCTGAAACACAAAATTTAAAGTTATATTCTAGACTTTTTTTTGTAGCTTGTTTATTCCCCTCTCTGTCTACTATAAGGCTGACTTTTTTCAAATTTCTAGGTAGATCTGCAAAGTAATTCATACCATTTCTATTTTTCTGGCTATAATGGGGTATTGACTAACTGTAGCAAACTCTAATACAGGGTGGTCAAAAAAACGGCAACCCTAATTTTTGCTCATATCTTTGTCATTTTAAGAAGTTTTGCCCTGATATTTGGCACATATGTACATCATTCAATTTCATACTAGACTGCTTTATTTCATGAACATTGGACTGATAGTCCCAATGTTACAGCACTTTAAACAAGGTACCCCAGTTTTCCAATATTGTGCTGCAGCCAAACCTGCACACATTTTCCAAACCTGTCAATGACATAACTGCATTCCTCAGCAAGTATGGCCTGAACGACACATGTGATCTTTATTTTGAGGTCTAATGTCTTTCTTGTGTTATTACTCTACACTCTATCTTTGGGGTATCCCCACTGGTAAAGATTAAATGGGGCCATATCTGGGCTATGGGGTGCCCATTCATTGTCTGTTGTACTGCTGATAATGTGGTCATTGAAGTGGTCCCAAAGCCATTATTGTGCATCATTGGGTGTTTGGGGTATGGTTCTGTCTTGTTGGAACCACTGCTGCTGCCTTTCAACTTCCCTGGGTTCACCTAAAGTCCCCAAGAACTCAATGGGAATCACAAAATAGAGTTTGATGTTGACAGTTATTGCATATCCATTGGCATCATTAAAGGTAAAGGACCATATCTTCCGAGAACACACTAAACTGTGCATCTGTCTGTGTGAAGGTGCATCTCCACTACTTCATCAAGAGCCATCAAGTGCTTGGCTCTCCAAGAATACATAATTGTTAGAGTTTATCAAGTGCATCAAGTTGGAAATGGAGTTCATTTGAATAACAGATCAGCTCAGACAACCAGAAAGTGACCTTATGGGGCATGTTGCTTAAAATGCAGTAATATTGTGATTATCAGTCCGATGGTCATGAAATATGGTAGGTTGGTAGGAAATTGAATGATGTACAATTGTGTAAAATATCAGGGAATTATTTCTTAGAATGACAGAGATATTAAGAAAAACTAGGGTTGCCGTTTTTTTTTGACCACCCTGTATTAGTACTTTATATTTGTTTCATTCTTTTAGTACACTTTACCATTTCCTAAGACTTTTTCTTTGGTGGTCTCTTTACTACTTGTTTGACATGACATAGTGAATATACTAAGATCAATTAATAAGTAGACCCTTGGCATTTATCATCTTTCCTTTTATTTCATATGCAAGATGTTCTGGGATTTCACGAGGAAATAACATTGCATTAGAAAGGGATTTATATTGGATAAATGCATGCAAACATTAAGATCAATAACGAAGCAAGATTGACGCCAAGTTTGCAGTTTATTCCAGTCTCGATGTTCTTCAGTATAACACCCTGGCAAAAAACAATTGCTTTATTTTATTTGGTGATGAAATTATAAAAATGCCACTAAGGAAAAATAAGAAAGGAAACACTGTTTTGAAGTAATTATTTTTTTTAGATTTGCAGGAAATATCGTCGGAAATAAAACCAATTGATAGGGCTTTGAGTATCATCAATTAAGTCATTTATTACAATGTCGGGGTATATTCTCATATCGAGTAATGGTAAAATAATGTTTCAATTACATTATACCAGATTGTTATTGGAGTATTTTCAATTACAACTGATAATTCAGGAATATCTCATAGAATACATGTACAATAGTATTTAAGTTAATATTGTATCACATCCTTGCATTATTATTGAGTCCAATCTTTCTTTTCTTCAACCTATAACTGTATTTTTTTTAATATACATAGATATATCATAAATTTTACAGATACAAAGTTAATTAATTTGTCTTGCAACATTGAAAATAAATAAGGTTAGCTTCTTTTTTACTAAAGTTGCCAGATTATTTAAAAGAATTTTACAATTAACATGTAGAAATTTTCATTCCTGATAATTTTGCCTGATGTTTTGTTGTTTTCTTTGTGAGAAATTCTAAGGTGTGCAGTACACATGGGTTTTGTGATTCACTCCTCCCAGTGAGATCATTCTCAATAGAAATGTTGACCTTCTTGAACTAGAGACAAAACAAAGGATGCACCTGTTGTAAGATCATAGACCTGCTTCAGTAGGAAATAGTGATGAATAGGGTGATGTTCTACAGTAAAACCTGCCAATCAAAGCACCAATTAATTGGACAGTGCTCAGTCTTTAGGTACATGTGTAACATCAGTTAATGAAAACACAGAATGAATTTAGTCCATCCCATTGGGGATCAAACCAATGACCCCTCGTCTATAAAAACACCCATTGATTGAAAAGTGTTCAGTCTTTAGGTACATGAATGACATCCATATCATCATCTGACACCATGTGATATAAGGTACGCTTTCCAAGAGTGTGAGTTTCAGCCTCAGCTTCAGCAGGGCTTTAGGGTAGATAGGTGTTTGACTTACTGAGGTGTTCAATTTTACAAGTTTTACTGTGAGTGGATTGTTTACTATTGAATCTAAGGTCTCATTATGTAAAGGTAGCTAAATAAAGTAGTACTTTTACAAAGTAATCTCTTCAGAATTACCATTGATATCTTTATGACTATTTATCTGCTCAAAGTCTGGATTAGGATGTGTTGAGAATCATTGCCAAACAAACATGTTTCTAGATAGATTACAGGCCCGTAGCCAGGGGGGGTTCGGACGAACCCCCCCCCCCCCCCTGGCCAAAATTTCTCTCAAAATCAT